ATTCTAATTTTTTTATTATGACTAAAAACGCATGATATAAAATTTACCAAGTGAGCCACTTTTAAGTATATAGTTTAGTGGTAAGTCTATTGTGATGAAACAAATCTCTGGAACTTTTTCGTCTTGTGAATCTGAAACTATACCCATTAAACAGTTTCCCTACTTCGTACAATCCCTGGTAATCACCATTCTACTCTGTTTCCAGGAATTTGATTACTTTATATACCTCATATAAGTGGAATTATATAGTGCTTTGTCTTTTTGTGACTGGCTTATTTCACCTAGTATAATGTTCATCCATGTTGTAGCTTACAACAGAATTTCCTTTTTAAGGCTGAATATTCCATTGTGGGTGTATACTCCATTCACATTTTCAATAAGTTTGTTGAGTTTGGGTGAAATCTTATATACAGAACCGTATTGTGGCATTCAGGGTGATTGAAAAGTAAGTACAACTCTAGGGCAGTGACTTCAGGCTTTTGAATATATTACCTTATCCATAAAACATGCTTGACCAAATTCTCAATATATGTATATTTATGTCTACTGCTATCGATCCAGATGTTAAACATTGACAAAATTTAGTTTCTTCTACTTTCCTTCCTCCCCTTCTTTCCTCTGCTTTCCTGTCCCTCTGCTCCCATCTCTCCTTTCTTCTTGTCCCTTCTCCTTTCCCTCTACTTCTTCCCCTGTCCCTTTCTTCTCCTGTCCCTTTCTTCTTCTCCACTACCTCATTCCCTTCTTCTGCCATTTTCCCCTATTTATCAAAAAATAAATCTAAATAGAAGTTGTGGTATTTTCCTTCCATATTCCAGTGAATCATTTTGTACACCAACTACCATGGAGACTGCCTTGCTCTGTGTTTTGGAGACAAATCATCACTTTCTATTGATATTTATTATTTCATTTTTATAGATATTTATGGAGCCATGTTCAAGATACTGTGTATGGTAATGATCCTAGGAAGACTTTGAGGGTCAATCTTTCTAAAAGCTGGATAGTATCATATTTCAGACTTTTTTTTTTTTTTGAGACAGAGTCTCACTCTGTCACCCAGGCTGGAGTGCACTGGCATGATCTTGGCTCACTGCAACCTCTGCCTCCCAGGTTCAGGTGATTCTTGTATCTCAGCCTCCCAAGCAGCTGGGAGTACAGGTGCACACCACGACACTTGGCTAATTTTTGTATTTTTGGTAGAGACAGTGTTTTGCCATTTTGGCCAGGCTGGTCTCAAACTCCTGGCCTCATGTGATCTGCCTGCCTCAGCCTCCCAAAGTGCTGGGATTACAGGCATGATCCACTGTGCCTGGCCAGACTTCTTTTTTTTTTCAATCACTAATCTTATTCTTTGAGGATTAAGAAGTACGTTCAATTAATTGCTTCTTTAATCCTTTTATTTTTGGAATAGTTGAAGTTTAGTTGGAAAATCATGTTTTACATTTAATTTTGAGGATTTGTTTTACACTTAGTGTTCATGTACATTTGTAGTCCTCACACTTTTTACCTGAAGATAAAGAAAGGTTAATATATACCTCTTAGGAGACTGAAGACTTAGACTGAATTAGCTTGCTGAAAGCAAGAAATAAATTTGAAATCTGTTTTGCCTTAAACTTACATGATTTTTATCTTTTCCATATTTTGGGGCTCAGTTTGACGGTCCAGACTAATGTTTCTCCTGAAGCTTCGTGTATCCTCTGGCAAACTCATGAATAGCTCTGTGGATATGGGTGCCTTAGATTAAGAAGTAGAGAATGAGGCCTGCTGGTTACTTTAAGTTCAGTTTTTTTGTTGTTTGTTTTGTTGTTGAGACGGGATCTGGTTCTGTTGCCCAGGCTGGAGTGCAATGGTGTGATCTCAGCTGACTGCACCCTCCACCTCCTGGGCTCAAGAGATCCTCCCAAGTAGCTGGGACTACAAGCATGCGCCACCATGCCCAGCTAATTTTTGTGTTTTTTTGTAGAGACTAGGTTTCGTCATGTTGCCCAGGCGGGTCTTGAACTCTAAGTTCAGTTTTTAAAGAAATGACATTTAAATCTAGGTTCAGAATATTAATTTCGTTGTGCTGATTTTAAATGATAAACTGAAAAATAAATATTAACTTAACCTTCCCCTTATATTTTAGTTTTAATCACAGCAATATATGTGTGTGGTAACGAGTCTAGTAGTACAGAAAAATTTATAGAAAGGAATGTTTTCTTATTCCTCTACTCCTCCCCTTCCCTGTGTGTAGCCTGTTAACCATTTCTCCATTTCTGTTTTGGGTTCTTTGGGGAGTTACTTTTATAATTATTAGAAAACCACATTCAGATATTCTGAGGGTGAGGAAAGGATTCTTAAGGGAAGGAAGGTATATTTGTACAGTCTACTGTCTTGACATGGAAACTTTGTTTTAAAAAGTACTTCCTGGGAAAGCAACTGAAACTTATTTTTTAAATTTATGTCAGGACATGATTCTGTTTTTCCTGTGAATGCCTTAGTTTTTCTTCAGTCACTTTATAGCCTCCCTACACCTCTTAAAATTCATAAACTCTGTGTTCAGGTTGCTCTTAATTTCTCCCTAATACTATTTTTTTCTTCTGTTACTAATAAAGTAGCTGTTTTCCCATAATAATAGAACAGTAGAGTTAGTTTTCACCCAAGGAGTGGCAAATGTTCTTGATATTTGATTATTAGCATTTTCAAAAACAACCAGTTGAACACCCCAGCAGCTATAGCTTGAATTGGTGCCCCTAAACTTCACAACCAATCTGACCTAACAGGATTCAAGCATAAAATTGCCTGAAGTCTTCCTACAATTGGAGGACAAAGAAGAGGGAGTAACTACCCTATTGACAAGTCACAGGTCATTTCTTGTTTGCTGGGTGACATCGCTAACGTCCTTTTAGTTAAAACATCTAAAGTAATACACGTTCATTACTGTAAAACTGCCCATTTTTTTTTTCCTTTGGTCCTGCTTCATGAAAAGGGTGGTGGTGGTGGTGGTGGTTGTTTGAGACAGAGTCTTGCTTTGTCGCCCAGGCATAATCTTGGCTCACTGCAACCTCCCCCTCCCAGGTTCAAGCAATACTCATGCCTCAGCCTCCTGAGTAGCTGGGATTACAGGCACATGCCACCATGCCTGGCTCATTTTTGTATTTTTAGTGAAGTCAGGGTTTCACCATGTTGGCCAGGCTGGTCTCGAACTCCTGACCTCAGGTTATCTGCCCACCTCTGCCTCCCAAAGTCCTGGGATTACAGGCATGAGCCACCGCACCCAGCCAAAAAGTGTTTTAATAAGTGGTTTTCTACTTCCTGGTGTTGAGTCTGTAAATTTTAAATGTTTGCTCCCAGTGTGATTAATATTTTCATGTCACATGACTGGATTCACAACTTGTAGTTTCAAGTGTTTTCTGTCTTTAAAAACTCTCATGTTTTACCTTTAAAACTATTTTTATCTACCAATGGGTCAGTAAAAGAAAAAAAGGAAACTATTTTTATGACATAGCAATCTTGGCAAAAATCTATTAATTTAACATTGTACATTTTATTTTTTTCAGAGATTGTCTGTACTCCTTGGTTCACATGCTTTTTAATAACATAAAATCAGCCAGGTGCAGTGGCACCAGCCTGTAGTCCCAGCCACTCAGGAGTCTGAGTTGTGGGTATCCCTTGAGTCCAGGGATTAAATCCAGCCTAGGCAACATAGGGAGACCTCCATCTCTTAAAAAAGACAAGATAGTAATGTTAAAGCTAAATTATAAATTGATAAATTTACTTCAAAACTTAGCATTAAGTTTTTGAAAGGTAAAAAAATACCTCTATAGTTCTCACTTTTCACTTGATGAGAAGTTGGTAAACTACTGTTTAAGTTTTAGAATGTGTGTTAATGTATGCAGCAGTAATACTGGAAACTTGATTGTTGGTTATCAAATGTTAGTAAGAACAAAGAAAAAAATTTACACATTTAATCTAACAGTTCCTTTTAAAATCATTTGAAAGATTAAGTAATAATCTTTTTATGCCACTTTTTAGTAGTCTCCTAGAATACTAATATTTTTTTCATCTTTCCCTTTTTCTGAAATAACCAAATTACTATATTAAACTCAGCTTGACTATAGCTTGTTATAATGCATGTGCATGCTGTGTCTGCAAGCTGAGACGCTCAAACAATAAAACCAAATTGTATTACAGCACAAGTATTTTCTTTCCTGTGGAAGGTAAGTAAAATCTCATTGGAACCATCAAAGGAGAATATTGGTGTGCCTTAATGTGGAATTGTTTGCCTGTGTATTAGATCATGCCTTTGCAAAATCCTTGATTATCTACTGGTGATTTGCATTTTGTAACTCAAGGTTGATTAAAGATTTGTATAACTTTTTTAATGCTAATGTCTTTAGTATTCTGAGGTAATATACTAAAAAAATACTGCCTAATTGTGGAGTGTTCACAAAAGAAAACAACAAGATTGCATTATTTTCTTCTTTGTCATTCCATTGACTAGAAAATTCTATCTCTGAGCCATTTCCAAAAGTTTGAATTAGTTTAAGTAGTTATGGTGCCTGAATTTTGTTTATATTTTCTAATGAAAAATATAGTTTTAGATATAAGGCCACATGATTACCGAAGAATCTCAGAAGGGAGTTGTTGCTTTTAATTAACACTGACATCCCATGATAATCTTTAAAAAAAGCAAAGTAGAAGGATGTTGGAAATTTCCTATCGTGTTCATAGTTAAATTGTGGACTGATTTATGGGTGGATATTACATCCTTTTATCTTTCACATACAATAGATAAGTCAGCATTTAGAGAGAGAGAGACAAATTGAGGAAAAAGCAGAGGTTGCTAGACAAAAATGTTTGTCTTCCTCTATTTATTTTCTTACCTGCTGTGTACTTTCATAATCTTAATCTTATTTTTTGTGCGTGCTTATTTGTAATTAACTTTAGATCTTACATAAACACAGGTGAAATAAATGCAATGAAAATAGTACTTCAGTAACGTTTTATTTTCTTTTTATTAGTTTCTTCACTAGTTGAAGAAGGAGAAAAACAGAACAAACGTTTTAGATCATCAAAAATGTCTTGCAGAGAATCTGCCCCACTGACCCCTTCCTCAGCACCAGTAAGCCAGGAGTCACTGGCAGTTAAAGAAAAGTTCATCCCACCCGAGCTCAGCATCTGGGACTATTTCATAGCTAAGGTAATTAAAATGCTATCTAGATCAATATTTTCATAGTCAAATAGAAATGAGAATATCAGAAATAAGTGTAATTTTTGGTGCTTCCAAATGTTTTCACACTTTGGTTTAGAAAATTTTCGTTAGTATCAGGCTACATTCCAAAAATATATACCCTAGAATATTTTGACCATATTTCATAGAGTTTTTAAGGCAGTTTTTTGGTAAATTATGATGTTTGCATTTTAAACAACTTTTGCATTTTATTATATTTTTATGAGATAAAATAATTTGCTTAACACTCTCATGTTAATGTACTTGATGATGATTAAGAAATCAAAGTGCTCTGGTCATCTATCATGCATATACATTTTTTTTTATACTACAGCAGTCTTTCATTATTCTGAAATGCATAAATTTCAATTACCAGTGTTAAGTAACATTATTCCCTCAACAACATGGTTCAAATTTGTTACCACAGTATATTAAATATGAGTAAACTTCCCTGCTTCATTCTAGAAATCACTATGTAAATATGCACTTTTTGATCAGTGACCAATCATATCAGTTCTTTTAAAGTCTTTCAGTGATTGATTATGTAGCACCTGTTACTCAGTTCATACACAGCAAAGCATGCAGTTGTTTTGTTTCTTCTCCTGTGATAAACCCATATGATAGAGTACAAAATTGGATTTAATCAGAAGAGGGAAGTGGCCAACTAAGATGAAAGTGCATCCATAAAAAAAGTGATAGTACTGAGAGTGATATTCAAGTTGAACTAAGTGAAGTTAGAGAACAAATAGCCAACTGTGGGTATGTTGACAATGCTGCCATTTGAAAGACTCTAGATGTACAGCCAGAGGAATTTAGTGAAGGTGAACTTATAAATGTAGAAAGTAGTTGTGATAAAATGATGAAGATGTTCAGAGATAGTGACCTTGCCAAAAAACTTTACATTGAAGGGATTCACAGCATTGAAAATGCAAAGAACAGTATGTTGGAAGCTGATAAAATCTTAGAAGTGTGACAATTTGTTTAAGGCACAGAAGAAATGCTTGCTTCATATCCTAAGTTACAGAGATAAAAGGCAATCGCTACTCAAACTACTCTTGATAAGTTTTTTACAAAGAAATAAAACATGTTATTTCTTTGTATTCCTAATATTTTAATTACAGTATGTTAAAATTAGTTTATTTTAAAATTTTTTTCTATTCATTTATAGCTGATGGTAAGAGTTTTTAGTGTTTTGACAAATGTTTTTAAAGGTCACAAAACATTTGTAATTTTTCCCATTGATTATTATTGCTCTGTATAGTTTCTGCATGCATGGTCATTTTTATAGTCATGCAATACTGTGCGAAACAAAGACTGCCTATATAAGTATCTTTCACTTTTTGTGTCATCAGCCACATCCCTCACAGTCTCAATTTCCAGACATTCTCCTGCACAAATTGACATCTAACTCTAACTGTTCTCTGGTGACAAAAGTCTTCCAGGCCTACTAAGCTATGGCTTTTATTTTTCTCATATCCTACATGCTTAAGGGTAATGAAGGGAGTTTGTGTCTCCTTGTTCCTCACTGCCCTTTTTTGAGTGATTTATTTATTCATATATTCAACAAATATTTATTAAGCACTTCATTTATCTAGGAATATCTTTATTTCACTTCTATATTTTGAAGGAGAGTTTTTGCTGGATATAGGATTGTTGGTTAGCAAAGCCTTCTTTAGCTGTCTTGTTTCTGAATCTTTGTTAAATGTCTAGGGTCTGCCCTTACACCCAGTCAATATCACAACTTCAAAGTAGTTGAGATGTTACCTTCCCTAATTGTTTGCTCCTGAGATCTCTGTTACTTTTGATAATGCCTATGGGCCTAGAATTTTAAAGACAACCCCTCTGGCAGGGCATCAGAACTCTAGTCTTCACAGCCTGCCCTGCTGACGCTGGTGGAACACCTACACCACAGAGATTGGGGTAGAATGGGAACAGCTCCTAACCAAGTTCTCACTGTTTTACCCAGATCAAATCCCATAGATTTTTTTAAATAAATACTTCTCTATGTGTTATATGCATGGGTCAACCATTGGTTGTTTTCTACAACTTTGTTCAATTTTATTGTTGCTTTTTGGAGAAAGGACTTACCAAGCTGTTTACTCAGCTGTTCCAGAAGTTCCACTCTCCCTGGTATGTTTCTTTGTTGGTCTTCCAAGGTTTTACAACCTTTTTTTCAAACTTCCCACATCTCCCTTTCCATCCTATCCTCACTCTTAATTGATGACCTCACCTTGTAAGTCTCTGAGAAAGATAGAATCAGACAAAACTTTTTCATCATCCCAATTTAAAGTTACAGATCAATTACATTTGTTCCTGGCTTATTCCCTCCTGTTATAGTGGAGGAAAAGTCCTTCTATCAAAGACCATTTTCTCGAGTTCTACTCTGAATCGCATTCTTTCTTTTCTTCTCTACTCTCCCCTGTGTTTTCAGTTCTCTTCCTCTCTGTCGAATCCTTCACATCAAGACGAAAATGTGCTTTAGTATCTCCCATCCCAAACCCCTGCTTTGACCCTGAAATATTTTCCAGCTGCTATCCCATTTTTCCCACTCACATTCAGCTTTTCAAAACTATAGACACATGGCTTTCTACTGCCTTGTTTCCCTTTCATACTTACTTAGCATATAACTTTCTGACCCAGTTACACCCTTTAAAACTGCTCTTGTTGAGATTCAGGTGATATCCATGTCAAGTATAGTGGAAACTTTTTAATTATTTTCTTAATCTGTCTTCTTAGCATCATTCAACATTCTTCACTACTCCTGCCTTGAAATGCTTTTCTCTCCTTTTCTCTTGATGCGAGTTTCTTGTAGCTTTTTTTCTTAAACTTACTATTTATTCCTTCATAATCTTCTTTCTTCATCCTTCCTCTTCTATTTGACCCATGAATGTTGGTCTTCTTCGTCATTTGTACATTTTATATCGGTTTTCCCCAAAACCTTCCCTCTCATACCCAGTCTTTCCATTTTATGAAATTATATATTCATCCTTATAGTTGCTCAAGCCAAAAACCTGGGAATCATTTGTTTTTCCCCCACCTTCTCTTGCTCTCCAAATCTATCAGCAGATCTGTTGGTGCTTTCTCCAAAATATGTCTTGAATCTACTGTTTCTCTCCAGCTTCATTACTAACCACCTATATCCAAGCTGCCAACTCCTGTTTTAGTTACTGATGTCTCCATTTCTACTCTTGCCATTTAGCTTTTCTCTCATAAGAGAGTGATTGTAATGATATACCTAGCCTACAAATCTCAGAAGCTGTCTTCTACCTACAACTTATTGGTGGCATTCCCTTACATTCCTTTACCGTGGCCTGCGAGACCCCATCTGAGCTGTCATTTGCTATTCTCTCCAATCTTTCTCCCAACATTTATCTTTCTGCTTAGCAGACTCAATCAAACTATTTTCAAACCAAACTCTTTCCCAAACTCTTTCTGCATTCTTTTTCCACTGTCTAAAATGCTTTTCTTCCCTCTTGTTGTATGGTTTATTCCTTCTTGTCCTTTAGTTCTCATACTTTTCTTTTTTTCTTTTTTTTTTTTTTTTGAGACAAAGTTTGGCTCTGTTGCCCAGGCTGGAGTGCAGTGGTGCGATCTCGGCTCACTGCAACCTCCCCCTCCTGGTTCACACCATTCTCCTGCCTCAGCCTCTCAAGTAGCTGGGACTACAAGTGCCCACCACCACGCCCAGCTAATTTTTTGTATTTTTAGTAGAAATGGGGTTTCACTGTGTTCACCAGGATGGTCTCGATCTCCTGAACTTGTGATCTGCCCGCCTCGGCCTCCCAAAGTGGTGGGATTATAGGCGTGAGCCACCGCGCCCGGCGTCTCGTACTTTTCAAAGAGGACTTCCATGATCACCTTATCTCAATTCTCCTTATTCTCCATTTCTTTTCTTTGTAGCACGTAATACAAGTTGTATTTAGTTTTCTGTTATTTGCCTATTTTTTCCACTAACATGTAAAATGTAAATGAGGGTGGTGATTGTATCTGTCTTAAAAATTCTTAAATCAGGTAGAATTCTTGCCGCACAGTGAATACTTAATAAATTTTTGTTGAATGGATGAAAAAATAATGGAATTGTATCAAGTGATGTCAAAGGCATAGGATGGTAAGATAATAGTTACTTACCTCTCTTATAGTGAAGTATCTGCAAATGAGATGAATTATTACTGTTAGACTATATGTTTGAATGTATTAAATTAGATATTTGGCTGATAAATTTCATGATTCCTTTATTTTAGCCTTTTCTACCCCCTTCTCAAAGTAGACCTGAATATGATTCAGAGGAGAGTCTGGGAAGTGATGATGATGATGATGATGATGATGATGTTTTAGCATCAGATTTCCATCTCCAGGAGCATTCTAATTCAAATTCATATAGGTATGGAATATTTTATTTTAAATTTCTTTTTAAAAATCATGGTTTATATAAATATTTTTGAAAAAATACGTGTGAAATTAATAGCTTGTTGACTTTATAACACATTATAACCCAGATTTCTTTAGTTGAAATTGTTAAATTCCTTTCCTTAACAATAATTTCTATGTTGACTTTATAACACATTATAACTCAAATTTCTTTAGTTGAAATTGTTAAATTCCTTTCCTTAACAATAATTTCTCACATACCTTTGTTTGTCCATTAATGGACTATCCGTAATTTGCATCATTCCTCACAAATCTTGCTCCAAGATTATACCTTGCATTTTGGGCTCTAACATAAACAAGTTCTACTGTTTTAGTCTAGAAAATATAAAGTATTTTCAGTAGAACACTAGTACTATAAGATATCAATAGGCACTGTCTTCAAAAAGTACTCTGTATACCATATAAATGTTCTAAATGCTCACCTCTGGCTCCAGTACTGCGTTATTCTTACATTCATGAATGATGGAATATTAACTTGTCTCTGTTGATATGTTTACATCTAAAACATATATATGTTTTACTAAAACATGGTATGTTAATAGCGTGATAAAAAAATGTAAATTTTCCAAAAGAGATAAATGTATGAGGACATTGAAGTCATTCTTTATTTAAAAGTTAGTATGAGATTATTTACTTCCTGGTTTATTGAGAGTATTTTTCCCTCTGCTGAATGAATTTTACTTTTTCAGTATATAAATCATTTAAAAGTCAATCTGCACAACTCAACAACAAAAAGACAAATAATTTAAAAAATAAACAAAGGGCTGGGCATGATGGCCTATACCTGTAATCCCAGCACTTTGGGAGGCCAAGGTGGTCAGATCACTTGAACCCAGGAGTTCAAGATCAGCCCAGACAACATGGCAAAACCCCATCTATATTTCTAAAAAAAAAAAAAAAGTTAATGAACAAAGGACTTGAATAGACATTTCTCCAAAGACGATATGAAAATGGCCAATAAGAATATGAAAAGATGTTCAATATCATTAATCATTAGAGAAAGGCAGATCAGTTTCCCAATGAGGCAACATCTCATATGCATTAGGATGGCTACAAAAAAAAAACCAACATAACAGTGCTGGCAAGGAGGAGGAGAAATTGGAATCTTTGTGCACTTTTGGTGAGAATGTAAAATGGTGCAGCAACTGTGAAAAACAGTATATTGGTTCCTTAAAAAATTAAAAATAGAAATTAACATATGATCCAGCCTTTCCACTATGGATATATACCTGAAAATATTGAAAACAGGGACTGAAACAGATATTTGTACTTCCCATGTTCTTAGCAGCACTAGTTACAGTAACCGAGGGGAAGAAACAATCAAGTGTGTTTTAACAGATGAATTACTAAACAAAATGTGCTATGTATGTTCAATGGAGTATTATTCAGCCCTAATTAGGAAGGAAATTCTGACACATGCTACAACATGGATATAATGCTAAGTGACATAAATCAGTCACAGAAAGGGTTATAGTATGTGATTTCACTTATATGAGGTACCTAGAATCGTGAAATACATAAAGACTAAAAATAAAATAGTGGTTTTCAAGGGCTGGCGGTGGGGGGAGAATGGGGAATGAATTTAGAGTTTCAGTTTTGCAAGATAAAAAGAATTCTGGAGTTGGATGGTGATGGTGGTTGCACAGCATTATGAATGTGCTTAATGCCCCTGAACTATAAACTTAAAAATGGCCAAAATGGTAAATTTTATGTTTTTGTACTACTGTTAAAAAATAACTAAAAATTCAGTCCTTTAAGAAATAAATATGTTCCACTTGAAATAAAAGAGAAGCTGACTTTTTTTAAAATCAAACTATATAAAAATGTGAAATCACAAGTTTTACTTAAGCTTCTATTTACTCTATCCAATTTCTTCTGCACATCCTCTACAGCAAATCACTTTTATTAGCTTCTGGTTTATCCTTCTGTTTGCAAATAAGCAAAAGCATCTGTCCAAACTTATTCCCCCAGATTTTTTGCAGAGGGTAGCATACTACATATAGTGTTCTGCTACCTGCTTTTTATTTACTACTACATATGAAAACTTACTCCATATTAACATTTAGAGATCCTTCTTCATTACTCCTTATGGTTACCCTAATATTCCTTAGGTCAAAAATAGTTATTCAACGAGTACTCTCGTCGTGGACAATTTTGGTTATTTTTGCACTTCTACTATTGTAGATAATGCTGAAACGACTAACTGGATGTGTATATTATTTTGTTTTCGTAGAGGGGTATATTCAGGTTGATTCCTAATAGTGGAATTTGTTGAATCAAAGGGTAGTATACTTTTCTAAATCCCTATAGAAATTATTAACAGATCTATTGTTGCTTTATTTTTAGTTGGTCCTTGATGCGGTTGGCAATGGTGCAATTGGTGCTCAACAATTTGAAGACTTTTTATCCCTTTGCAGGTCATGATCTTGCAGGTAATAAATAGCTCCACTTGAACTCATGGTACCATTGCTTTTGACTTACTACCTGTTTTTTTTGTTTTTTTTGTTTTTTTTCTGGAGTGGGGGAAAAGTTTAGTGACATCCTGTTATAGAAGTTAGATTTCTTTTAACTAAACCATCCGTCTGTAAATGTATCTGTCATACTGTTAGGTGCTTGAGGAGGGCAACATCCAAGAAATCAAGGGCACTGAACGTGGTATGATTGACTATATTGAGACTCTATACTCTAGCCAAGTGTTAAGGGATTTTACAATGGAGAGAAAACTAAACAAATGCAAAAGCTAGCAATTATTAACTTCAAAGGAGGAAAAGATTGTACAGGAAAGAAAGGGGCATGATAACATTCTAAGTGATTCTGCTATGAACTGTAGTTCTGTATATATGATACAGTAAACACAAAAATACCAATTTAACGAAATATTTTTATGAGACTCTATCATAATGATGACAGAGGAGTTTATTCTCATTATGCCATAGTAGTAAATCAGTAGATCATTTCTGAAATTGAAAAATTAAGTATTAAGCATGTTATTTAGATATAGAGAGGTAAGTAGTAGGAATAACTAAAAGTTGAAAGTGAGATCAGGACTCCAGAGTATGGATGGGCAGAATTGCAAAGTGCTGAGTTCCATGGCAAGTATTATTTAATTTTAACTTTATGTTTTGTTTTCATTTTCTATAGCTCTTAAAGAGTTATATGCCATACAGAAATTAGTCCGATACAAATTAAAGCAGGGGTGTCCAATCTTTTGGCTTCCCTGGGCCACACAGGAAGAATAATTGCCTTGGGCCACACATGAAATACATTCATACTAACAACAGATGATGAGCTTAAAAGAAAAATCACAAAAAATTTCATAATGTTTTAAGAAAGTTTACGAATTTGTGTTGGGCTTCATTCAAAGCTGTCTGGGCCGTATGCAGCCTGTGGGCCATGGGTTGGACAAGTTTGATTTAAAGCAATTAATTTTCCCCACATATTTTCAAAATCTTCAGATACATTTTTCTTGTAATATTGAAGTCAGAAGCAGTAATGTTGAAATACTTACACAGATTTATGGCATACCTTTTGTAATCCTCTGGGTTTCTTTGCCCATCTCACCTTGCACATCTTCCCTGCCAAAGTGTATGTTAATATTTAATCTCAGTCTTTTTTTTTTCCTGCATCCGCTCTCCCTGCTCTCATTTCAGTCTTCCTTAAAATTGAATATGGCATTTTACTGCATAAGATTAATATGAGTCAGTGTTCCCGTTTTAGAGCTTCCAGTTAGTTCACCTCTTTGTCATGCGGTTCTAAAAACCCTTCAATGTTGGGAACAAGTTCTTCTCCGACGACTTGAAATCCATGGTGGGCCACCTCAAAATTATATCGCAAGTCATACCTCTGAAGAGAGTTTGTCTGCAGGTCCTGCAATTCTTCGCCACAAAGCTTTACTGGAACCTACGAACACTCCTTTCAAGTAGGTTTTCTTATGAATATTGTTTGGGTTTTTTTGTTTGTTTTTTGAGATGGCATCTCACTCTGTCATCCAGGCGGGAGTGCAATGGCACAATCTCAGCTCACTGCAGCCTCTGCCTCCTGGGTTCAAGCGATTATCCTGCCTCAGTCTCCTGAGTAGCTGGGATTATAGGAGCCCGCCACCATGCCTGGTTAATTTTTGTATTTTTAGTAGAAATGGGGTTTCACCATGTTGGCCAGGCTTGTCTCAAACTCCTGACCTCAGGTGATGTACCCGCCTCGGCCTCCCCAAGTGCTGGGATTACAGGTGTGAGCCACCACTCCCACCCTGAATACTGTTTTTAAGATAGGAGTTTTACTTTTTGGGCTGCACATTCTTGTCATAACTACTCAACCCTGCCAATGTAGAGTGAAAGCAACCATAGACAACATGTACACAAATATATTCAGTTGTTGTCCAATAAACTTTATTTCTTAAAATGGTAGGTAGACTAGATTTGGACTGTGAGCCATAGTTTATTGATGCCTGCTCTAGAGCAGTGCTGTTCAAAATAACTGGTTACAGAAGTGTTAAAAGTTTATAGCACTAAGCAACAGTCAACAGATGCAGCACAATTCCTGTCAAATTACCAACATCATTCTTAACAGAATTAGGAAAAAACTATTCTAAATTTCACATGGAACCAATAGAGAGCTGGACTAGCCAAAGCAATCCTAAGCAAAAAGAACAAGGCATCACATTACCTGACTTCAAACTATACTACAAAGCAACAGTAACCAAAGCAGCATGGTACTGGTACAAAAATAGACAAATAGACCAGTGGAACAAAATAGAGAACCCAGAAATAAACTCATGAGAATTTGTTCTACAGATTATTTCATCACTCAGGTAGTACTAAGCCCAGTACCCAGTAGTTACTTTTCCTTTTTTGGAGACAAAGTCTTGCTCTGTTAACCAGGCTGGAGTGCAGTGGCATGATAACAGTTCACTGCAGCCTTCACCTCCTGGCCACAAACAATCCTCCTGTGTCGGCCTCCTGAGTAGCTGGGATCACAGGCATGCAACACCATACCCAACTAATTTTTTGTATTTTTTGTAGAGACGGGGTTTCACTTTGTTACTCAGACTGGTCTCAAACTCCTGTGCTCAAGCAGCCCATCTGCCACAGCCTCCCAGAGTGCTGGGATTTCAGCTGTGAGCCACCATGCCTGGCCCCCAATAGTTATTTTTTCTGATCCTCTTTCTCCTCCCCCCTGCCCCCTCAAGTAGACCCCACTGTCTGTTGTTCCCTTCTTTGTGTTCACGAGTTCTCAACATTTAGCTCCCACTTTTAAGTGAGAACATACAGTATTTGGGTTTCTGTTCTTGTGCTAGTTTGCTAAGGATAGTAACCTCCAGCTCCATCCATGTTCTTGCAAAAGACATTATCTCATTCTTTTTTATGGCTGCATAGTATTTCTTGTATCTGTACGACATTTCCTTAACCAGTCTGTCACTGATGAGCGTTTAGGTTCGTTCCATGTCTTTGCTATTGTGAATAGTGCTGCAGCAAACACTTGTGTGCATGTGTCTTTTATGGTAGAATCATTTATATTACCCTAGGTATATACCCAGTAATGGGATTGCTGGGTCAAATGATAGTTGCATTTTTAGCTCTTTGAGGAATCGCCATACTGCTTTCCACAGTGGTTGAAGTAATTTACACTCCCACTGACCGTGCATAAGTGTTCCCTTTTCTCTGCAACCTTCCCAGCATCTGTTATTTTTTATAAATAATCTGTTATTTTTTAATGATAGCCATTCTGACTGGTGTGAGATGGTATCTCATTGTGCTTTTGATTTGCTTTCTCAAATAATCAGTGATATTGAGCTTTTTTCTTATGCTCATTGGCATGTACGTCTTCTTTTGCAAAGTGTCTGTTCTTGTCCTTTGCCCATTTTTTAATGGTGGTGTTTGTTTTTCTTTTGTAAGTCAGTTGAAGTTCGTTATAGATGCTGGATGTTAGACCTTTGTCAGGTACATAGTTTGAAAATATTTTCTCCCATTTAGGTTGTCTGTTTACTCTGTCGATAGTTTATTGTGCAGAAGCTCTTAAGTTTAATTAGATCCTATTTGTCAATTTTTGCTTTTGCTGCAATTCCTTTTGGGGTCCTTGTCATAAAATCTTTGCCTGTTCCTATGTCCAGGGTGGTATTGCCTAGTTTGTCTGCCAAAACTTTTATAGCTTTTGGTTTAACATGTAAGTCTTTAATCCCTTTTGAGTTGATTTTTGTGTATGTTGCAAGGAAGGGGTTAGTTTCAATCTTCTGCATTTGGCTAGCCGGTTATCCCAGCACCGTTTATAGAAGAGGCAGTCTTTTCTTAATTGCTTGTTTTTGTCAGCTTTGTTGAAGATCAGATGGCCAGAGGCGTGTCACCTTATTTCCCAGTTCTCTATTCTGTTCCAGTGGTCAATGTGCCTGTTTTTGTACCAATACTTTTCCATGTGGTTACTGTATTTTTGTAGTATACTTCAAAATCAGGTAATGTGATTCCAGTTTTGTTCCTTTTGCTTAGGATTGCCTTGCTATTTAGGCTCTTTTTTGTTTGTTTGTTTCATACTAATTTTAAAATAGGTTTCTCTAGTTCTGTGAAGAATGTTGTTGGTGGTTTGTTAGGAATAGCATTGAATCTGTAAATTGCTTTGGGCAGTATATCCACTTTAATGATACTGATTCTTCTTCTCCATGAACATGGGATGTTTCTTCCATTTGTTTGTGTCTTACGTGATTTCTTTGAGCAGTGTTTTGTAATTCTCATTGTAGAGATCTTTCACCTCCTGGTTAGCTGTATTTCTAGGTATTTTATTCTTTTTGTGGCAGTTATGAATGGGGCTGCCTTCCTGATTTGCCTCTCATCTTAGCTGTTGTGTATAGGAATGCTGGTGATTTCTTGTGCACTGATTTTTGTATTCTGAAACTTTGCTAAGTTGTTTATCAGATCTAGGAGTTTTTGGGCTGAGACATAGTGTTTTCTAGATATAGAATCATGTCATCTACAAACAGGCATAGTTTTACTTCCTGTCTTCCTATATGGATGCCTTTTATTTCTTTCTCTTTCCTGATTGCTCTGATCAGGACTTTGGATACTAGGTTGAATGGGAGTGGTGAGAGAGAGCATCCTTGTCTTGTGTTTATTTTCAAGGAGAATGCTTCCTGCTTTTGCCCATTCAGTATGATGTTGGCTGTGGGTTTGTCATAGATGGCTCTTACTATTTTGAAGTATGTTCTTTCAATACCTAGTTTACTGGGAGTTTTTACATAGATTGATGTTGAATTTTATCAGAAGCCTTTTCCGATATAATTATGTGGTTTTTGTCTTTAGTTCTGTTTGTATGATTCATCACGTTTATTGATTTGCATATGTTGAACCAAACTTGCATCCTGGGAATTAAGCCTACTTGATCATGGTGAATTAGCTTTTTGATGTGCTGCTGGGTTTGGTTTGCGAGTATTTTGTTGAATATATTTGTGTTGACATTCATCAAGGATATTGGTTTGAAGTTTTCTTTTTTTGTTATGTCTCTGAAGGTTTTGGTATCAGGATAATGTTGACTTCATAGAATTAGGTGTGGAGGAGTTTCACCTCCTCAATTTTTGGAGTAGTTTTAGTAGGAATGGTATCAGCTTTTCTTTGTACATTCGGTAGAATTTGGCTGTTAATCCATCTGGTTCTGTGCTTTTTTTGGTTGGTATGCTATTCATTACTGATTGAATTTCAGAGCTCATTATTAGCTTTGTCAGGGAATCGTTTCTTCCAGGTTCAGTCTTGGGAGGGTGTGTGTGTCCAGGAATTTATCAATCTCTTGTAGGTTTTGTAGTCTGTGTGCATAGAGGTGCCCATAGTAGTTTCTAATGGTTATTTTTATTTCTGTGGGGTCAGTGGTAACATCCCCTTGGTCATTTCTAATTGTGTTTATTTGGATCTTCTCTCTTTTCTTCTTTGTTAGTCTAGCTAGCAGTCTCTCTGTCTTACTAATTTTTTCAAAAGACCAACTCCTGGATTTGTTGATCTTTTGAATGGTTTTGTGTGTCTCAATTTCTTTCAGTTCAGCTCTGATTTTTGTTATTTTTTATCTTCTACTAGCTTTGGGGTTTATTTGTTCTTGCTTCTCTGATATTTTCCATTATGATGTTAGGTTGTTAATTTGAGATCTTTCTAACTTTTTGGTGTGGACATTTAATGCTATGAATTTCCTCTTAATGCTGCCTTAGCTATGTCCCAGAGATTTTGGTAAAGCATACCTACTTTTGTTAGATCCTATGGCCCTAAGCTAGGGATCAACAAACTATGGCCATCCCCACAGGTGAAATCCAGACCTCTCCATGCTTCTTTAAATAAAGTTTTATTGAATTATAGCCATAAATGCTCTCAATTTTGCATATTGCCAGTGGTTGCTTTCCCACTGGAAGTCGACAGTCCCTAATTCAGTTCTGAAATGTTCCAAAATTCAAAATTTTTTGAGTACCAACGTGATGCTATAAGTAGAAAATGCCACATGTAAGTATTTAACACAAACTTTGTTTCATGCATACAATTATTAAAAATATAATTTCTCACCTTCACTGCCTGTAATCCCAGCACTTTGGAAGGCCGAAGTGGGTGGATCACCTGAGGTCAGAAGTTCAAGACCAACCTGCCAACATGGTGAAACCCTATCTCTACTAAAAATACAAAAATTAGCTGGGCGTGGTGGCAGGTGCCTGTAATCCCAGCTACTCAGGAGGCTGAAGCAGGAGAATCACTTGAACCTGGGAGGTGGAGGTTGCAGTGAGCCAAGATCGCCTTGTTGCACTGCAGTCTGGGCCAAAGACTGAGATTCCATCTAAAAAAAAAATACACACACACACACACACACACGTGTGTATGTATGTATATATATAATTTCTTACCTTCAGATTATGCATGTAAGATGTATATGAAACATAAATGAATTTTTAATTTAGACATATATATTCAAATATTTCTAAATCTGAAAATAGATGAAATTCAAAATACTTCTGGTCACAAGCATTTTAGATAAGAGATACTTTACCTGTACAGTATCAGACTTGAGTAGTTGTGGCAGAGACCATATGGTCCACAAAGCCTTTAAGGAAAAGGTTGGTGATATGATCTGCCTCCAATCATATAGTCTGATTGCAGTTAACTTATTATAATAAACATTTATATGGCACCAAGGAATTGTTGTCAAGTTAATCAGAAATTTCTGAGGTTTATAATTAAATTTGCTGTCTCTCTCTGTAGATCCAAACACCATCTGGCACTGTCTGTGAAGAGGCTTTGGCAGTATTTGGTGAAGCAGGAAGAAATTCAGGAAACCTTTATCAAAAATATATTCACAAAGAAACGGTGTCTAAATGAGGTCTGTATAAGTTAAAACCTGTTTACTATTTTATTATTGAAGTCTTTTATATTATTATGTAACCATTAAAATGAGATGTATTTTATAGATTTTATATGATAAACATAGGCAATTAATGCTTAGAAAAGTGTAATTTAGAAAGGGGCAGTATTTTCATAAATTAATTTAATTTAATTCAAATTAAAATGGGACTTTTTTCCTTGAAAAAATGTTTAAGATTCCGCATCTTGTTTCTTGTATTTTGAATTGTCATGATCATCAGTTTAAGAGACAAGATAGAAATTTTCCATGATTTTTCATGTGACAATTAAAAGAAGTCTATCTTAGAAGTTTAATTGTAACTGGGTTTATATACTGAAAAATTTTTATTTTATGTATGTATTTTTTTTGAGACGGGGTCTCTGTCACTCAAGTTGGAGTACAGTGGCACCATTTCAGCTCACTGCAACCTCTCCCTCCCAGGCTCAAGCAATCCTCCCACCTCAGCCTCCCAAGTAGCTGGGACCACAGATGCATGCCACTATGCCCAGCTGATTTTTTGTTTTTTTTGGTAGAGACAGGGTTTCACCATATTGCCCAGGGTGGTCTTGAATTCCTGAGCTCAGGCAATCTACCTGCCTTGGCCTCCCAAAGTGCTAAGATTACAGGCTTGAGCCACTGCACCCAGCCAACTTTTTAAATATGTACATTTTCTTTTCTGTGGATTATGCTTAAATTAATGAAATTTTACAAACCCAAATTAACCTATACTGTAACTGGTTGCTTATACCTTGATATTATCATAATCTTTTTTTTTTTTTTTTTTTTTTTTGGTCATTTAGTTTAGTGCTAGTAATAAGTACCAGTTTCATGATATGGGGAACTTGCTTCTTTCATTTGAGAAGTTTTGTTACTAAAAAGTTCAGGTGAACTAAACAGTAGACATAGTGATGTAGTCAATTATTTTTGTCTCCTGGACTGATAACAAAGAGTTCAGAACTGACATTTGGTATGTGAACCACATTTTGCGTAGCACTGAACTAGTCTGAAAGCAAGCTTTGTACAGTTTTTGAAGTTGGAGGAAACACTGAAGATACTTCAGTTGAAGAAATAAATTGAATGGTTTCACAATAGACAAGCAAAAAGCAAGATGACATCTAACCTTTCTGCCTTAAAGGAAAATTACATATGTATCTCATTGTCTCTCAGTTTAAGCACCAATTTTAAGTGGAAACTGTATATGCTATTATTTACTATTTGCCTCATTTTGTTAATGTATTCAAATCAACCAAGTCGGGAAATAGTGTGTAGTATTCTTGCTGACTTAGAAGAATTTTGACCTGAGTACCTTTGTATAATATTGAAATTTAGACAAACATGAATGTATTTCATTTGTTTATTTGATCTTTTTTTAAAAAAAAATTGATATATTTGACTAATCTTACAAAAATCTTATTTTTCTACTGCTGATATGTTTGGGTATTTGGGAAATGAAGTAGTTCTGAAAACAATACAAAGAAACTATTGAACCATTATATTGTCTAGTTGATCCAGGAATAGAATCATTAAGGAAATAGAGTAGTATAATCAAGCCAGAATACATAAACGTAGCAAATAATAAATATAACTACATATTTTAAAATTTCTGTTATTCTTTGGAGTTTCATGATATCTCAGGAAATTTTTAAAATTATTTTTATTGTAATTATTTTAATCAGAAGCATGAACATGAATGTTAGACTGACAGTTTTGTGACTATCATTAAGCTAAATGTTTTCTTTGAATTTTGTTTTAATTCAAAATGACTATAATAGCCCTTACTTTGCAGTGTTTTGATAAATTTATTTAAACCTTGACACAATTAATTATAGTTATTAAAAGTTTGTTGTTATTGCTTTGTTGTTTTATTCTTGATAGTGATACTCTTAAAAATAGTGTCTTTTTGATAACGAATATGAAAAGAAAAATGTTGTATAGTAAAGCATAGATTTGAATGGAATTAAATAGAATCTTTATAGAGTTTGTGTAAAATTAATCTTTACTGGAAAGTTTACTAGTCTATTTTTAGTATTAACAAAATCACCTTCCATCTCTTATTTTTCTAAAATGATGATTATACTTAAATATTTTAATTGAAGTCACGTGATTTTCCAGGTGGTTAAGAGATACATATATGACAGGCCCTGTATTTTGGATAGCAGGTGATGGGAGAGTATTCTGAGAACTGCTCTTTCTTTATTTATGTGTTTGAAAATGAAATTTTATTTACAGTTTCTTCATCTGACCCTAAAATCCCGGTTTTCACAGATCTTTTCTTTTCCTGTATAGTAAGTTTTACTGGTACATGTGTTTTAAAATAGAATGTCTTCTCTCTTTGTATTTAAATAGAAAGTACAGACAACTGCAATTAGATTAAGTCATTCTTAATAAAAACTTGGGACTTGACAGCTCCCATCATTGTTCCCAATTCCTTTTTCTGTTTTTTTGTTTTGTTTTGTTGAACTTTCTGAGAAGAACTAAAAGTCTTGGAACAACTCTTTCTTTAACAAGTACTGCTATTCCCTTTTAAGAAGTATATGTGCTTCTAAGCAATTTATTGACTGTTTCTGGCTTCATCAGTGGAAGAGAATTATAAAAATGTAGAAATTGAAATTTTCTAATCAAGAGATTTTCCTGAAGGTTCAGATGTGGAGATAAGACATAGCAGTGAGTAAGAGAATAATTCGACTTTGTTGATAGTGCTCTGACACCAGTAGCTCTGATTATTTTAATATAAAGTACTTTGGTTTCAATCATGCTTTAATGTCAACATTTCGAAATTGAGTAAAAACTTCTTAGGGATAGAATAAAAATTATAGTGGTAGTTAATGAGTTCTGAGGGATTAAGTTTTGCTCATCCCCTAACCATGCACATGCTTCTTATAAGTTGTATGAAATTTTAAGAATAACTCTATATAGTGTTCTTTTCTAGTAAATTTGGTTTAAAATATAACATTTAAACAATCCCCAGTATTTGCGTGTTACATGTCGTCTTTACTCTTTGTCATGTGGTTATTCTTTCTTGATGAAGTCATTAGAGGACAACAGTGAAACCATCAAAAATTCTATGATGGAGGAGCCAAACATCAATAAGGTACAAAATATCATTCAACTGAAATTAGAAATTGCATTCTTTCACAAAAGAACAAAGCATTTGCATTTTAGTTTTAAACTGGTCTTTGTTTCCAATGGATTTAAAGTATTGTTCCCTCAGATTATTCTCCTTTTATTTTAACAACTTAAATACTGCAGTTGTAAAAGTGATTTCTGTTTTGTTAGATAAGAGAATGCAATTTTAAAGAGAGTTGAATGTATCTTGTTTTGGCTACAAATTTTTCTGAGTAAATATAACTAAAGTTCTTAATACATGTGATTACAAAAGCAATTGTTTAGTAGTATTTTAACTCTACAAGTATCACTTTTGAAGTTAAAATTCTCTCCTATGATACTAATTCCTAAAAATATAGTAAATACTGTTACATAGCGTTTATTTTACTGGTAGCAACAGCATGTAGCAAAGTGCCTTAAGGGTACATAGTAAGTACTCATGGTACTTGAGAATCAAAGCACCAAAGATGAGAATCTATATAATTATGAAATAACTCCTAGGTGTTCTGTGATTGCATATTCAACTATGACTTTATTTTATTTTATTTTTGAGACAGAGTTTCACTCTTTCACCCAGGCTGGAGCGAAGTGGCACAGTCTCAGCTCACTGCAACCTCTGACGCCCAGGTTCAAGCGATTCTCCTGCCTCAGCCTCCCTAGTAGCTGGGATTGTAGGCAGCCACGACCACACTGGGCTAATTTTTTTTTTTTTATTTTTTTTATTTTTTTTTTTATTTTTAGTAGAGACAGGGTTTTGCCACGTGGGCCAGGCTGATGTCAAACTCCTGACCTCAGGTGATCCACCCGCCTTGGCCTCCCAGAGTGCTGGGATTATAGGCGTGAGCCATCACGCCTGGCCAACTCAACTGTGACTTTATGAGGTTGATATTTAACTCATGTTTTTCATATTCTCATATTAAAACAATCTCAGCAGTGATTTTTAAGTGAAAAATTTCTCAAAAAAATTGTTAAAGTTACTAATTTCTACCTCTCATTCTTTCCAACGGGAGTCCTTTGGTAAAATAGGAGAAGTAATTCTGTGCAATTACTTAAAAAGCCTGATTTGATATCAGGTGTATTTTATAACTAAAACTTTTGCAAAATAAGTATATGTGATTCATACTTTGAAAATTTCTAGTGGCCTTTGGGGGTTTTGAGGGAATATAATTCAAACTTTTAATCAATTAACAATTTTCCTTGCCTGGGTATTGATGATTACTTACTACTGTCACTGTCTACACATTATCAGGAATTCTTTTTTTTTTTTTTTTTTTTTTTTTCTGAAGACAGAGTTTTGCTCTTGTTGCCCAGGCTGGAGTGCATGGCACAATCTCAGCCTACTGCAACCTCCACCTCCCAGGTTCAAGCAATTCTCCTGCCTCAGCCTCCCGAGTAGCTGGGATTACAGGCATGTGCCACCACGCCCAGCTAATTTTTGTATTTTTAATAGAGACAGGGTTTCTCCATGTTGGTCAGGCTGGTCTTGAACTCCCAACCTCAGGTGATCCACCTGCCTTGGCCTCCCCCAAAGTGCTGGGATTACAGGCATGAGACACTGCACCCAACCACGTCAGGAATTCTTATACAAACATTTTTGTTTTGATACTGTTTATAAAATGTTAATCAATGTTGTATTTCTATAGTCATCTTCATGCTTGACTTGACATCATGTCAAAATGCAGTCTTTTTGAGGGGTGGGTTAACATCATTTTGGCCAGCATTTTCCAAGCCCACTGCTATATAGTTTTTAAAAAAACTTTATAATATATGCCTGACCTAAAATAACTACATATATTTAAAGTGTAAAACTTGTTCAATTTTGGCATGTGTATACACTAGCGAAACCATCACCACAACCAGGATAATGATTATATCCATCAGTCCCCAGAATTTAATCCCTCCCTTCTTTTTCTGTCTCACCTGTGCCCTCTTCCCCAAGCAACTACCGAATTTTTTCCTGGCGTTAAAGATTAATTTGTTGTTTTCTGGAATTTTATGTAAATAGAATCATATAATATGTCATTTTTGGTTTATAGTCTGTGTCTGTTGACTTAGCATAATTATTTCAAGATTGATCTATGTTGTGTGTTTTAGTAGTTCATTCCTTTTTATTATGATGCTTATTACATTATATGGATATACCATAGTTTACCTGTTAATGAACACTTGAGCTGATTTTATTTTGGACCTATTCCAAATAAGGCTGCTTTGAATATTCATGCACAAGTCACATTGTATGGAAAAATGCTTTCATTTCTCTTGTGTAAATGCCTAGGAGTGGAAAGACTGGATCATGTGGTAGGTGTATGTTAAACGTTTTATGAAACTATTCAAATATTTTCCAAGGTGGTTGTACCATTTAGGTACATTCTCAATGGGTGGTGTACAAAATCCCATTCTTTTTTTTTTTTTTTTTTTTTAAGGCAGGGTCTCACTGTGTCTCCCAGACTGGGTGCAGTAGTGTGATTATGGCTCACTGCAGCCTCGACCTCCCGGGCTCAAGCAGTCCTCTTGCCTCAGCCTTCTGAGCCGCTGGGACTACACGCATGCATCACCATGCCCAGCTCATTTTTATTTTTTGTAGTGGTGGGGTTTCTCCATATTGCGCAGGCTGGTCTCAAACTTCTGGGCTCAAGCAATCTTCCCACCTCACCCTCCTGAAGTGCTGGGATTACAGGTGTGACCCACCATGCCCAGCCTTGCCTTACATTCTTACCAACAGTTGATGTAGTCTATATTTTCATTTTAACCATTCTAGTAGGTATGTAGTAGTAGTTCATTGTGGTTTTAATTTGCATCGAGCATCTTACCACATGCTTATTTGCCATTTGTCTATCTTCATAAATTGCCTTCAAATGTTGTATTTATTTTGTATTAGGTTGCTTGTTTTCTTAATTCAGTTTTAACAGTTATTTGTATGTTCTGGATAAAAATCATTTATCAGAAATGTGATTTGCAAATATTTTCTCTTATTCTGTGGCTTGTCTTTTCATTCTCTTTACAAAGTGCTTTCATTTTATTTATTTGTTTTTAAACAAAGTCTTGCTCTGTTGCCTAGGCTGGAGTGCAGTGGTGTGATCTTGGCTCACTGTAATCTCCACCTCCCAGGTACAAGCCATTCTCAGGTGTGCACTACCACACCTGGCTAATTTTTGTGTTTTTAGTAGGTGAGTAGAGTGGATTTCACCATGTTGCCCAGGCTGGTCTCGAACTCCTGGCCTCAAGTGATCTGCCCACCTTGGCCTCCTAAAGTGCTGGGAAGAGGGGCGTGAACCACTGCAGCTGGCCACAAGTTCTTTTGATGTGCAGAAGTTCTAATTTTGATGATGTCTAATGTATTAGTTCTGGTTATTCATTTTCTTTTGGTGTTGTATTTAGGAAATCTTTGCCTAGCCTAAGATTACAAAGACTTTCTCCTATTCTAAGTGTTTTAGAGTTTTAGTATTACATTTAGGTCTATAATACATTTCAAGTTAATTTGTTTACATGGTGTGAAGTATAGACCTCAGTTCTTTGTTACTGTTGTTGTTTTTGCATCTGTATTTACAGCGTTATTTGTTGAAAAGATTATCTTTTCTTTCACTAAACTATCTCTTTCACCTTTTCAAAACTGACGCAGATGTGTAGGTCTAATTCTGGAGTGTATTTTGGGCCATTGATCCATCTTTATGGTAATAGCTCACTGTCTTTATCACTATAACCTTATAATAAATCTTGAAGTCATGTGTTATAAGTCCTTCAAATATATTCTTCATCTAAGTTCTTTTCTTTTCTTTCTTTCTTTTTTTTTTTTTTTTTTTTTTGCGCCTTATCACTCTGACTTAGAACTTCCAGTCCAGTGTTGAATAGAAGTGATCACCAGCAGACATTATTACCTTGTTTCTGATCTTGGGGAAAACAGTCTTTTATTATTAAGTAAAATGTTTCCTTTAGGTTTGTTGTAGATGTCCTTTATAAGTTTGAGGACATTTCTTTGCATTCCTACTTTGTTAAGAGTTTTTAATAAGAAAAGGATGTCAGATTTTTATCAAATGATTTTTTTTTTTTTTTGCCTACTATTGAGATGATCATGCTTTTTTCTTTTTTAATATGATAGGTTAATGAATTTTTTTAAAATGTTAAACCAATCTAGTATTCCCAGCATAAGCTATACTTGGTCATGATGTGTTATCCTTTTTATATATATAGTTACATTTGATAAAATTTTAAGAATTTTTACATCTATGTTCATGAAGGATATTAGTTTGTAGTTTTCTTACAATGTTGTTTGTGTTGGTCTCAGATTAATGCTAGACTCTTAGAATGAATTGATGAAGATTCTCTCCTCTTTAATTTTTGGGAAGAATTTTTATAGAATTAGTGTTATTTCTGAAGTGTTTGGTAGAATCCTGAAAATGGCAAAGTTGTGTCTGTTTTGGTTATTGTGAATGATGGTGCTATGAACATTGATATACAAATATCTCAGTCTCTGCTTTCAGTTTTTTGGGGTATATACAGAAGTGGAATTGCTAGATCATATAGCAATTCTGTGTTTAGTTTTTGATCTGCATAATCTCTTTAAATCTCTTTTAGCATTAATATTTGAATTCTTTTTTCCTCACATATCCAGCCCAATCAAAGCATGGCATCTTTACAAAGTGTGACTTGCAACTTTAGGAGATCTTTTGAGACCATATTCATTGTGATTTTTTTTAACTATAATGTTATGTTGTGAGGCCTTTAACAAATGAAATTATGTTCATAGCACACGCAAGTTCCGTCTCTGTTTTTGGCTGACTGTATCATGTTCCTGCTTCCTTCCCTTCCCCAGCTTAGATTTCATGATCCATCATGGAATCAGTCAATCACTTGCAAACATCCTTATCTCTGTTCTTCCTACACTATACTTCCCTTGAAAATTCCCAAATCTGCTTAACCCCAACTCTTTGTCCTATTCTGTGCCTGCACTCAAGCAGCTGAACATGTTTGGAGGAAAAGCACAAACCCTGGAGCTTGCCTCACTTTAAATAGCACAAATCCCAAATTAACATAAAACTTACCCTGCAGTCATAATAAATTGCTCTATAGCAAATTTGTTTTTTCATTTTCATTTTCATACTTTTTCCATTTCCTCAAACTTCCAGTATTTGTTTCCCACTCCCCACATATCAATATATTTTGCTGTTAAAATAAGTGCAGTCAGCAGTGATTTAGCCTAACCTGCCCATCGTCATCTAATTTCTGCTCTATATGCAGATATTTTCTTCTGCCTCCTTTAACAGTGAGTGAACTGTCACCCTTTTATTCAAGAGCAGATCTTTCACTTGTGCACAGATCTTACCTGCTTTCACCTACCCGAGGACTTGTCTTCAGTTCTTAATAACTGAAGCCCATCTCCCTCTCTCCTCATCAGTAAATATTTACCTCTCTCAAATTATTCTCATTAGCATGAGCAAATATATTTTAATGTTTTGCCTTTAAAAAATACTCCATTTCTCTAGTCTCCAATATAGCAAAATTCACTTAGAGTTGCCTATAAAGTCATTCAAGATTTAAGCAATAATGTTAAAACACTGTAAACAAACCGCCCAGCTTAAGAAATAAAACATTATCAATTCCATTGAATGTCTCTATGATCCTTTCCCGGTGGACTCCGCTTCTTATTCACCAGATATCATATTCTCTCTAATTTAGTTATTATTTCCAGCCCACTCCACTGAGATTGTCATAGACATGGTCACCATTGACTTCCAATATACTAAATTTAGTAGTCAATTATCTGTCTTCATATGATTCAACTTCTTAATAATCATTTGGTAGTGTTGACCCATAACATTTTTCTAAAATTGTTTCCTCACTTAGTTTCCATAATATCAAACTCTTCTATTTCTTATGTTAGCTAATTGATAACTACTGAATTGTCTTTTTCCGGTCCTTGAAATATTGGTTGCCCCAGAATTCAGTTCTCTAACTTTTTATCTTTTCTATCTTTACTCTCTCCTTGGGTTATCTCACGATTTAAATATTAATATAATCTGTGTACTGACAACTCTCTAATCTCTCTAGTCCCAACTAATTTCCTGAATCCAGACATTGACTGCTGCAAACCTACTCCCCACTGTTTCCTTCACTTACGTCCATCTCAGTAAATGGTACCTTTACTCACCCAGCTGTCAGGCCTGATAACTAGGATTCATCCTTTTTCTTTCCTTCTTTTACTCAGACTATGATTACAGCCCATTAACAAAATGTATCCCAACTCCAAACACTTATCACTGTCACCATGCCTACTTCCCTAATCCAATCCACTATGATCTCTCACTTCAACTACTGTAGTTGCCTTTTAACTGGTTTTCTGGCAGTCATTCTCAAACCCTTTATGTTTTGTCTCACAATAGCCAGACTTTTCAAAATCCACCAATGGTTTCTCTGACTTAGAACAGGATGTGAACTCTATTATTTCTTTTAAGGCCCTGCAGGAGCTGAAGAACTTCTACCTTTATCTCCAGTCTTACCTTCTGCCACTTATGGTCATTCACAAATTTAATCTAAGACTTCTGAGATACCACCATTTCTTTGATCCACCCTCATGACGTTCTGATTATGTATCTGACATGGGGTTCAGAGTCTTTGTATTTAAAAAAGAAAAAAAAAGTCACCTCAGTTGACTGTTATTCAGGTTATCTTGACACTACCTTATTGAGAAACAATGTTCTTAGTAAATAATGAGGACAGGAATGTATTCCTACATAGAGAAAGGTTTTCTGAAGTTCATACCTGCAGGAGCTTTCCTCCCATACATGTAAAGTTTAAAAAAATTCCCCAGGTGAAACTGGTATGATCCCCCATCCTACCATAACCAGCAAGTAGCACATCCCTCTATTCCATGGAGCCATCATCTTTCTCTGTCGCCAATTTCTTCAAAACCTAAGAATGAACATTTAGTATACTTGAGATACGAGGCAGATTGGTAGGTAAGTTGGAATTTTGTCATAAAATTATGGAATTTGTTATGTACATCATTAACAGATGATCAGCCTTTTGTAGTCAGAGCTGAGACTTCCCTTAGAAGACAAGTTGATCCTCAAGTCAACCAGAATGTTCAGCGAATACTGAAATTCTTCATAAGTAAATTATACTTTAGATTAGAATATATTTGGCTCTTTGTATATGGTGACTGATTTTTGTTTCTGTAGGGGTATTTTGGTTTGGTTATCTTGTAAGTCTCTTTCAGCTTTCCAATTGAACACTCATCTTAATTGCCTTCATTTTATTTATTTATTTATTTTTTTGAGACAGGGTCTTGTTCTGTTGCCTGGGCTGGAGTGCAATGGCTCAATCTCGGCTTACTGCAGTCTCTGCCTCCTGGGTTCAAGCGATTCTCTTGCCTCAGCCACCCAAGTAGCTGGGATTACAGACGCGCACCATCACGCCCAGCTAATTTTAGTATTTTAGTAGAGGCAGGTTTTCTCCATGTTGGCCAGGCTGCTCTTGCACTCCTGACCTCAAGTGATCCACCTGTCTCAGCCTCAGAAAGTGCTGGGATTACAGGCATGAGCCACCATGCCTGACCTTAGTTACTGTTTTTAAAACACTGCATATTCTGATCAGTTCTGTGGTCAATGGTCAGGCATTGGTGATATTTCTATCAAAATTTTGCAGGAAGTAAATGTATGCTGATTTCAAATAATGTATGTGTTTCACATTAAGTCTGTGAACCTAATTAATTTTAAAAGATTGAAAGTTAGGATGACCAGGCATGGTAGCTTACGCCTGTAATCCCAGCACTTTGGGAGGCCAGGGCCACCAAATCACCTGAGCTCTGGAGTTTGAGACCAGCCTGGCCAAAATGGTGAAACCCCGTCTCTACTAAAAATACAAAAATTAGCCGGGCATGGTAGCAGGCACCTGTAATCCCAGCTACTTGGGAGTCTCAGGCAGGAGAATCGCTTGAACCTGGGAGGCAGAGGTTGCAGTGAGCTGAGACTATGGGCCACTGCCCTCCAGCCTGGGTGACAAGAGCAAGACTCCATCTCAAAAAACAAAAAAGATAATATGAAATAATGTCCTATATTAGGCAACAATTCAACTCTTTAATTGCCTCCTCTTTTCAACTTATTTTAGTAAGTGTTGAATTTACATAGTGTTCTTTTCTAAGTGCAAAGATGTATACACTTTGTCTGAAGTAAGCAGAAGGTCAAATATATGTCCCCCATCTAAAGTACATAGAATTGTGGTTTATTTAGCTACTAAAATGATTACTCACTTGGGCAAGTTACTTTGCCGTTCAGGATTTCAGGTTTCTCTATAAATTGAAGGTTAACTACAACCAGCTGGCCAAATCTCACCTGCCTCTATATAGCCCATGAGCTGAGAATTTTTAAAGATTTGAAAGAAATTGCAACAGTGACCCTTTGTGGTCTGCAAAACCTAAAATATTGACTATCTGACCTTTTAAATTTTTTAAAATAATATTAAAGAATTATAATGCTAAGAAACTTGGTAAATACATTTTGCTTTAATAGTTACAATGCGTTGATCCTTTAAAGTTACTTCACTGTGTCTTGGGCGGATAACCACTTAATGAAGTTGTGTGTTCTGTCAGCTGTTTTTTTTATGTGTAAAAAAGCAAGTTTGAAGAAATTTAAATTTCCCTTGTCAAACTTTGTTTTAGGGATAATTAGCGTATACAATAGTCCTTTAGAATTGAAATATCTAGTTTCTTAAAATAATTTATGAAGTACTAATTGATAGATAGGCACATATTATTAGTTCTATTACTAAAATCACTGCATTTTTGGATTTTGTTTCCTTTTATTTAGATAGAAGCAGATTTGGGATATCCTGGAGGTAAAGCAAGAATTATTCATAAGGAATCTGATATCATTACTGCGTTTGCTGTTAATAAGGTAAGTACATAGACATTCTTCTTTTGTTTATTAAGTATTTATAGTTGGATAATATATTCTGTTTTATCAGTTTATCCAGTATTTCTTTCCCAAAGCTGCTTCCAGTTCCTTAAATTGCAACCTGGATACTTCTTTTATTTTATAAAATGATATTATTTGATAATGTGATTTTGTTATTATATGATTTTGGATATGTAGCTGATAAAATACATAATGTTTTATTACTATGCAGAGAGAAGTACCAAATATATAGACAATCGCTTTTAGGATTTGTACAATGTAGTACAGTAGTTAACCCACAGAAAAAGTTTTTTATATTCCTTATGAATATGTCAAATGTGGTTCTGGGTATTTGGTAAGATTTAAGCTTATATGTGACTCAAATTCTCCCTCTTTGATGTATACCTCCAATAGCTGCCGAACATGTGTATTTTCTTAGTATTTCTTAAATTTCTACTTAACATCCTCCTTAGATGTCTATATGCTCCTTACAGAAGAGGTGGCCTTAGGTAATATAGTCCAAGATTGAAATCTGTCTTAATCATTTTCCCCTTCTATCTCCCCTAATTGCCTTGCCGTATAGTTCCTGATGACTTCTAATTATTCTTTTGTTTTCCTTCCATTAACTTAAAGGATATGTGTATCTTCTTTTTGTGTATTCATAGAAGATACCTAAAGGAGATATTGTATACATATATATAAAATAAATAAATTTAAAATAATTTTTAAATATTATATAGTTACATACCCTGCAATATATACAGGGAAATGTGATATACAGGAAAATTACCCATTTAGTAATCGTTTCACCAATTGGTTTTCTATCTTTCTGTGCTATGTCTGTCTTCTCTGAATTCTTCTGGATAGTATCTTTGTTGTTCTGCATCCTTCACTTCATTTCCCTCTTAGACACCATTGAGCAATGACTGGTTAAGGGACTGATTCCAGATTTGCCTGCTTCAGACAGTTCTGTTGTCAAAGAAACAGTTCTGTGTGAAACAGGCAAATCTGGAGTCAGCCCCTTAGCCAGTTGTAATATCTGTGTAACGTGATATTATATATACATGTCAAATGCAAAATTATTGGCCAGGTGTGGTTGCTCACACCTGTCATCCCAACATTTTGGGAGGCCAAGGCAGTAGGATCACTTGAGGCCAGGAGTTTGATAGCAGCCTGGGCAACATTATGAAACCCTGTCTCTACAAAAAAAAAAAAAAATTATTATCTATACCTGCATTACCTGCTCTTTCTTGAAGAAAATATTATTTAAAATATTCTGTACTATAAAAGAAACTAGTTGTTTTCTTCTTGAGTGTTTATATATAAGTACTGGTAATGAATAGTTATTCACATATATAAAGTCTACAGGTTACTGTCTATGAATATGCCTTTTTAATTTTTTTTTCCCCAGATTTGCTATTTTTATATTTTTATTTATTTATTTATTTATTTATTTTATTTTATTTTGAGACAGAGTCTCACTCTGTCGCTTGGGCTGGAGTGCAGTGGCACAACCTTGACTCACTGCAACCTCCACCTGCCAGGTTCAAGCGATTCTCCTGCCTCAGCCTCCCAAGTATCTGGGACTACAGGTGTGCACCACTACGTCCAGCTAATTTTTGTATTTTTAGTAGAGACGGGGTTTCACCATGTTGGTTGGCCAGGATGGTTTCGATCTCTTGACCTCGTGACCCGCTCGCCTCGGCCTCCCAAAGTGCTGGGATTACAGTTGTGAGCCACTGCGCCTGGACGATTTGCTATTTTTAATATCCTCACTAATTTGCAGCTGAGAAATAATACCTTTGCTTTAAATTGCATTTTTAAAAATGCCATTGGGATTTTTTTTGCCATTTGTTTAGTTGGGAACTACCTGTGTCGAAAACTATGAAGGGTCTCAGATTTTACCTTAAATTAAAACTAACAGTTACCTTTCTGTTTCTGTTAGTTGCCACAGAAACAGTTCTCTTTGAGGCAGGCAGTGGATTGTTTAAACAGTCCATTTAATTGATCCATTAAACAGTTTAATGGATGCTGTTAGAAGACATACGATTCTTTGATCAGAGACAAATGACAGTTTATGTCTAACAGCAAAAGCAATAACCAGAAAATCAGTGCTTTACACTGGTTCCCTGAGCCACAATTTCCAGAGAATGACGGGAAGAGGGCCAGATGATACCTACCTTACCTACACACATAGTAGGTTATATTATAGGAGAGGATCACCGAGTTTAGGGAAACGAAATCTTTTATAATAGATAGTAAATATTCTTGCCCTTTGCTCTGGAGGGAGAGATGATAGTTATACAAACATCCTGGTAATTATACTGCAGAAAAAAGGGCAGACATGACTCACTGATAAAACATGCAGAATTTGGGAGACCTGTGGAGAATTACCACCCAATAATCTAGCTATATCATTTTTTCATTTATTTCTAAGATCTCAGTTTTTTCTTAATAGTTTGTGTTAGACTCTTACATAGCAGTAATGGTAATCCTATTTTCTCTTTGATGTCATTATCTTCCTGTTTTCTGTTTTAAAGATATGCATGCATTCGTTTATTTATTTATTTATTTATTTATTTATTTATTTATTGAGACAGGGTCTCATGCCTGGTGCCCAGTGCTGTGGTGCAAAGTCAGCTCACTGCAGTCTCGACCTCCTGGGCTCAAGCAATCCTTCCACCTCATTCTCCCAAGTAGCTGGGACTACAGGTGCATGCCACCATGCCCAACTAATTTTTGTATTTTTTGTAGAGACACTGTTTTGCCATGTTGCCCAGGCTAGTCTCGAACTCCTGAGCTCAAGCTATCTGCCTGCTTCAGCCTCCTAAAGTGCTAGGATTATAGATGTGAGCCACCGCACCCAGCCAAGATGTACATTTTTGATTCATAGGCATTTAAAATGTCATGTCATTTAATCTTAGCAACTTTTCATTTGTGATCTTTTTCTGGCATACTTCTCCCACTATATTTCTGCCCCTACACCTTTTTTCTGTGACCCTTTCCCACTTCTTTTTTTTTTTTTTCCTAAGATTGAAAAGTTTTAGGAGAAAGTTGTTTTATTTGAATAATTAATAATTATTTTTTTAGTTTGGAGTTCCTTATTGCCCTCACCTTTCTATACCCTACAGGGCTCCTATCTTCCTCCACATTCCTGAATTTTGCAAACCTTAGAAAGATCATAGCATTCTAGCAGTCTAGAAAGACAGTACTAGGAGAGGAAATAAAATGTTGCATGTATTGCCATTTATACTGGCTTTCTATTGGATGTACTTTTCCTAGAACATAAACATATCTCCAAACTGAAGCTTATTATTTCACTAAAAGTAAGAATGCTGTATATCTTGTACTTTAGTTTTCACTGTTAGAGGTCATTACAAAACTACCATTTTCAAAAGCAGCTTATATACCTATTTTGCCTGTTTCTTTTAAAATTACTGTTTGACTTATTTTTCAGGCAAATAGAAACTGCATAGCAATCGCTTCCAGTCATGATGTTCAAGAACTGGATGTTTCTGGAATTCTGGCCACACAGATCTACACTTGGGTAGATGATGATATAGAAGTGGAAACCAAAGGGTACCTTCATACTTTGTTTTTATTTAGTAATGTTGCAGTATGAATGACTATATTTACTGAACTATCACTTTCAAAAGATTCTTTAAAGCAATTTATAGATTGTTAGCAGAGTAGAAGCTGATATGCTAAATGAGGGGTAGCAAGAGCTTTAAATAAGGGAATTGAGAGAAGAGTAAGTGAAGGGAACAGAAATTGTTCAGGTATGAGGTCATTGTGTGTGAGTTACGAATAAGAACTGAAGAAAATTAATTTTAAAGGGAACTATAAATTCAAATTTTAGACCTTTCAAGTGTAAAAAAGAAAGAAATGATGAGTTGTTTTTATTCTGGTTGACATTCCTTTATAGATCAGAAGACTTCTTGGTTATACATGCTCGTGATGATTTAACAGCTGTTCAAGGTACAACTCCATATACACATAGCAATCCTGGCACTCCAATCAATATGCCGTGGCTTGGTAGTACACAGACTGGGAGAGGAGCATCTGTGGTATGTAAAGTTAAAAATAAGTTTGAGTTATATGTAACTTTTTTTTCCCCTTTAGGTTAATGGGTAAAGGATGATTTAAAACATTTTTCTTAATTCCTAAAGTTTTAGTAAGTCTTACATGTTGGAAATTGTAAATTTTAGTAATGAAGAATAGTATGTTTTCATTTGAAAGGGTAATAACAAATTGTTTCAAAAATATACTTTGCTTGAAAACCAAAGAGCTATATTTTAATTAAGAATTATTTGAAACATAATGGTTCAGATCAGGCTTCAGCAAGCTATTCCCCATAGATCAAATACTACCCATGACCTGTTTTTATGTAGCTAATATGCTAAGAATGGTGTATACATTTTAGTGAAATGGTATACGCGTTGTTTTTTCAGTCGTTGAAAAAACAAACATAGTATTTTTTTGGCACATGAAAATTACATGAAACTTGATTTCAGTGTCTTTTTATAAATAAAGTTTTATAGGAACACAGCCATAGTCATTTGTTTCTATTTTGTCTGTGAATGCCTTCACACTACAGTGGCAGAATTGAGTATCTGCAACAGAAAGTAAATATTCATAAAGCCAAAACATTTGCTATCCAGTCCTTTATAAAAAAAGGTTTGCTAACCCCTTGTCTAGGTATCTTTTAATGGATATCAATTAACAACTATATCCATATTACCACTTTTTTAAATGCCAGGGCAAATATTCTTTTTTTTTTTTTTTAACAAAAACAATACAATTTTTTAAGTTAAGCAAAAAGCAATATAATGATGAACTGAAACATAATTTTTCTGTAGTGATGGAGGATCTGTTTTAACCCTGATTGCCTAGAGATGTGATTCATGTTTGTACTTCCAAGAGTTTCCTTTATTATTACTTAGGGTATAGGAACTAATGAACAGATTAGAAGAAGCAAAAAAAGGTTAGGTAGTTTTTCAGAATTTCATAAGTCCTGTAGAATGCTTTCCTTGACCAAAAAATACATATTTTTTTTTCATTAATTAGTATGGGTAATTGTTCAAGTAAAGGCTCAGTCATCTTTAATAATACCTTGTAATATTTTGTACCTAATGCAGTTCCTTTATAGTTGATATTACCTTATAATTTGCAGTGTCTGTTGTAGTTGTTATTTACTCGTACTTAAACATTCTTCAGATGAAGCTTGGGATCCAGAAATGTTAAGTGGTTCAACTTAGATCACTTTGTTAAATGTGTCTTGGTGGAGCTTGTTTTAAACACTTCTGTTCTCCTTAGTTCAATGATTTCAAGTAGCAGTGGTTTAAGGATTAAAATGAACTTGAAAAGCAATCTAGTAATTATTCAGATGAAATGACTTGGCTCAGTAGTGGTTAAATTCTTTTTCCAGCTGACAGGTGTGTTACAATTCATTTGTAAAACTTACTGATATTATAATCTTTTAAAGGAGAACTCAAGGGGAATATGCCAAAGAAGTGAATAGGACTAATAGGCACTTCTTGAACTCCAGCTTCAGAGATTACAATATAGTTTTTCCTGTAACATCTTTCTTGCTGGTCTCTTCCTCCTTCTGTTCTTTACACAGCAGCAGCCAGTTACTGTTTTCTAAAACATCGAGATTGTCACTCACTTTCTAAAAAATTTCAGATTTCCCAATACAACTTTTAAATAACATTAATATGGCCCTGCAGAATTTAACCTTCTGCCATCTCACCTCCCTATATTCTACATCTGATTCTCTTTGCTGTAGTTACACTGGCTTCTTTCTGTCTCTTGAACGTATTAAGCTCATGGTCATGTCAGGAGCCCTTGCCTTCCCTTCTGCTTAAAATGCTGCATCCCTCTGTTTTACCATTCACATCTCAACTCAAATCCCCCCAGATTTCCCTGGCTTCCCTAATTAAGGCATTTGCCCCTACCCACTCTACCCCCACTCAACTTATATTTTATCATCTTTATCATCCCTAGCACTTACCAGTTATTGAAATTATTCATTATTTAGTTATCTTTTTTTTTTTTTTGAGATGGAGTCTCGCTCTTTTGCCCAGTCTCTAGTGCAGTGGCGCAATCTTGGCTCATTGCAACCTCCACCCCCTAGGTTCAAGCAGTTCTCCTGCCTCACCCTCCCTAGTAGCTGGGATTACAGACATGCACTACCATGCCCAGCTAATTTTTGTATTTTTAGTAGAGATTAGGTTTTGCCATGTTGGCTAGGCTGATCTTGAACTCCTGGCCTCAAGTGATGCACCCACCTTGGCCTCCCAAAATGCTGGGATTACAGGCATGAGCCACCGTGCCCTGCCTTAAGTTGTCTTTTTGATATGCCCTGGAATCTAAGCTGTTTGAGAACTTGGATTCTGCCTGCCTTGCAGATTGATGATTTCTAACTAGAATGGTATTGGACATATAGTAGGTGTTCAGAAAAATGTGTTTATACTCCAAAGCTTTGTAATACAGAAATCTACCCTAGGCATAACACTAAGGATTGAATTTTCTTCCTACCTAAATCTTAGAAGGTCATCTTTTTATTTTGAATAATTGTGATTTGTTAACATAAGGGTTGGGATTGCCTCACTCTACCCTCAACAGAAAGACACCAGTAGAATAAGGTTGTTCTTTTTTACGTGGATCTTCTAAAATAATGATTTTACATATTCTACATACGCTTTCAGAAACTCTTTTAAACCTGTGTTTGTGTATTTTTTTACTCATGGTTCTCCTGTGAATATTAAAAAAGAAGACAAAAGCAAGATAGGAACCTTCAAGAATTTCTTTAAGAAGAACATGGGATTTAAATATGAAGTTTACTAACCAGAAGTCATATGCAGCAGGTTTTTATTTTTTCTAGAGAATTGATAAAATATTTTCTTAATCCTTTCAGTTTATCAAATGATAAAAATTAATAGCAAAAAAAAACACATTATGACTAGCTTCTGCTATTTTGGAGTATAACTGCATCCATGTATGTGTTTCAGTTTTTTTATCCCTCACCTTTTCTCTGGCCTAGTCTCTGTCCTCCCTACCAACTCCCCACCTTCTCCACAACTGTAGGCTAATTGAACCATTTAAAATCCAAAAGAATAACAATAACAAAATCTACCTGAGACTGATGCTACAAACTTAAGATAACATATATTTGTAGTTATGATGCTATATAAATAGGAAATGTTCTATAAAGTTTTCCTTTAATTTTATGTATTTGTTTTACTCTTATTTGACAGGCTAAATTATTCAAAGCATAACTTTAAAATGAGTAAATACATAGTTCCAAACTATCAGTTTTTAAATTTATTTATCTTCTTTTATTTTCACATGCTCCTGTCTTTTAAACTTATACTATTCAGGATTATTACTGAATAATAAATTTAGTGGGATCAGAAAAGAATTGACAAGAAAGGAGGGAAGACTAAATTCTTGAGAGGAATTTATCTTTAGATCCTAGTCAGTAATGCCCAAAATATATGTACAAATATAAGAGCTGCACTATTAAATCTCTGTTACCATGTTTAGTATTTTTAGCACCTATAATGATCGTTATGAACTCACGTAAAAATAACTACATGAATGTTATTTGAATTTCCTGTCACAATTTACATGTTTAATCCTTTTTATTGTGGCTGTAAAATAATTTTTCTATTTTACCAGATGATTAAGAAAGCCATTAATAATGTTAGAAGAATGACTTCTCATCCAACTCTTCCTTACTGTAAGTTGAATAATAATTAGCAATTGTCCTTTCTTATTCTTAAATCTATTTTTGGTAATTTTATTATAAGAAATGTATGAGAACTTTTTTGTTTTAATTGAAAGCATTTATTAGACTTTTTTTCTAGAGAATATTTGCCAGTAAATAGAATCTTGATTTCAAAACTGGGTAAAAATAGAAAAAGATATTTCCCTAAATGAGAAGACTGATTTAATGAAGTAAATTTTTTGGCATTTTGACTACCAATCAAAATTTGCGACTACCAATACACAAAATTTGTTTATTTCTAAGTTAACACATTTTATCTTTGAACATTTCTGGATTTCTTTGATTATGCTAAATTATAGTGAATAATTATTTTAATAATAGAACCACTGCCAACCTTTATTACATAAGCCACAACCATACCTCGATTATTTATTACCTCATTATACTCAGTTTGTATTTTATTACTTTTTTTTCAGTTTGTCTTTTATGAGACACATTAATAGTAAACATAGGAAGTTATTATTAGTAAGTTTTTATATTCTGAGGCAGAATATATTTGTTTTCAGTTAATCTTCCTAGGAATCTCAAAAGTTTCTCTTCCTTCGACCAAGAACTTAATTAATGGGGAATTTATTGGAGGTATTGATTCTGGGGGGTTGGAATCAATACTCATTGGTGTGTGAGTATTCCAATTTTTAACATTTTTTTTTAAGTTATGCCCTTCGTCAAGTTGTCCTACATAGTAACAAGAATAGTGCATGTTAATTAATGAGTATTCATGTCCCCCCAGTTTAATAGCCTATTAAAAACTTTAGAAACTTTTGTCTTGGGAGATATTCTGATAAAATGCAGTTAACAAAATCAGTATTCTTTTCTGCTTCATTTATGATAAATGCTCAAATGATCTATTATCAAAGTTGTATACTCTCTACAAAAAAAGGCTCAAGAGAACCATATATGTAAAATGAAGAGAATAACATCTGTTACTTATGCTAGAGGTATAAAATAATATAAAAAATTTGTCTGTTTTCAGTATGTCAAATTTATTCATCACTAGAAGTGTGTATTTTTTACCCACAAGTTTAATGTAAAGTGAGAACTGAAAAATAGTCATGAAGCCTGTAGTGTTAAGGAGTCAAAATGTGTTTTATATATAAAATTTAAATAATATTACTCCACATCAAGAAATACTTGATACTGCTTAAAACTACCCTATTCTATGCAGTCTGGTTTGGAAGTTTTCTGAGATACTGAAGGGACCTCATTTTTCTCTCAATCCCATACCATGTGTCCTGGCAGGTGTACATACCCTATACCTCAAGCCCATAAACTTTAAAGTGTCCACCCTCGAAGCTTCAAAGGTTCAATGAACCTATTGTCAGAGGTGTTAGACAGCATCAGTTACTGCTGTTGCTGTCTTGAGAGATAAGTACTTTCTCTGTTTAGAGAACTGCTATAACTAGCAGATAAGACACTTGAAAAATTAAAAGCTAATTTAATTACTGGATTTTTTTTCCAGTATATCTTTTCATGTCACAAACAAGTCCCACAGATAATAATTTAGTTTGATAACAAACACTTTTCGTGTTGTGAAAATGTTATGAGACAGGATTTTTTTTTTAATATTAGTCTGAAGTTCAGATACCTCAGGATAGCTGTTTTCTTTCCTTGGAATAGATCTTTTGAAAAATCCTTAAACAACTTTTTAGAAGTTAGCCTAGTACATTTATAATTTTCTGAGTAGAAAACACACTGTTTCTTTATACTGTCATGTACACTTCTGATACCAGATGTGTTGGCTTTTGTCCACCCCAAACCATTCTCCACCTCTCCAAGTACTGGCTGGGTGCCTTGTAATTTGGTTTAATTATGACACAGTCTGCCTGGAGTCAGAATCATATCCTGCAGGTTAAGGGCTCAGTCCCACAAAACTGCTCCTTATTTCAGACACCAATCACAGGTTATCAGTTGTCACCTACACATCTGACATACTGGCTATAAATCAGAGTGCCCACCACCCCCTCCTTGGGTTGGATTAATTTGTTACACTGATTCACAGAACTCAGGAGAAACACTTTACTTACATTTATCAGTTTATTATAAAAGATAATCATAAAAGAAACAGATGAAAAGTACATAGAATGAGGTCTGTAAGACTCCTAAGCAGAGGAGCTTCTGTCCCCTTGGAGTTGGGGTGCACTACAAACCTGGCACGTGGATGTGTTCACCAGCCAAGAAACTCATAAAATCTCCTTATTCAATAGTTTTTGTAGAACTTAATCTCCAGCTCCTTTTCCCGCCCTTTTCTGGAGGTTGGCGAGTGGCACTGAAATTTTCAATGCTTTAGGCTATCTGTGGGACCCCATCTAAGTCACTGCATTAGCGTAAATTCAGGTGCTGTTCCATGGATTTTAGTAGCTGTATGCCAGGATCCAGGGACAAAGACCAAATATATATTTTATGTCACACTGGATCATTTTTTCCCCTTCTAAAATGTTTAATGTGTTTTCCCTTTTTAATAAGTATTTGTTGAAATCATACTACATGATAGGTTCTATATAAGCCTAGCTGAGTAACAGTGAAGTCTGCTCTGCTGAAACATTAATAAGGAATCTCAGATAAGACTTTTAAAAACCTCTGGAGGCTCGGAAGCCAAGCCAAGGACTTGCTATTTGATTTCACCTGCAATCCTATAGATTTGGGTGATTTCCTCTTTTCTTGAGGTCCTCAGAAAATCCTGGGATTCCCTTGTCTGCCAGGAAGTGATAGTCCTTACTCTTCTGTAAGGCAACCATGTAAGGGACTATATGTGTACAGTACCAGGTCAGTTTTTCCGGTTTTTTGGGTTTTTTTCAAGGTGCCTTATTTGCTCTATCAGCCTTTGGTTCCTTAAAACTTTCTGGGTCATATCTGATATTGTGCATAGTCTCCAATATGATATATGAGTCAAAGCCTTGGTAATATGACTGATATTTTCAATTATGTCCTGCTATAAGAAGGACAGGTTCTTCTTGCTTTTACTCCTGGCAAGCTGTAAAGAACAGATTCTTATTGAACTTACGCAAAGAACTATATTGCCATGAAAATAAAAATACTCACTAATAGCTTCCAAATTCTGGAGGGATCAGGTAGGGAGAAAAAGTAATTGTTTTATCTTTGTTCATGAAGGCATACTTTGCCAAATTGCCATAAACTATTGAATAACATAAGAGAAAATAAAGTTTTTCTTAAATCTGGAAAACAAAATATTAAAGAACTACCTATGTTTCAAAACCACAATTCTTAAAAAACCATAATTTTTCTTCAATAAGTTATTAGCCTCTCATACTTAATTCTTGTTCAGCTTGATCTTGGTTAGCAGTTTAATGAATTTATAAGTTTTCTCCCTTAGAGTTCTGGAAGTTCTTACACTGTCCAATGATAGGATCTAAACGTTATCAGAAACCAGTACCTTTCAGAGTCTTTTCTATGAATCTCCTTGAAGACAGAGCACTTTAGGATTATAGTTACTTGCAAACACTTTCAGTGAAGATCAGGTGAAACAATAGCCATCTGTCAGTGACAAAAGACTTAACATGGCCATAGCTAAAGATCAGTTCATTATCATAATGCACAATAGACAAGTAAATTTGATTGCTTCTGTGGCATACAATATTTTAACAGAATAACTGAAAGTATGGCTAATAACATTACACCAGAACATATCAGATTTTTAGAAACTTCATACAATTTCTGGAATACTTATCTAATATCATATACCCATACAAATATAATATAAAAGGTATCACCTTTATTTGACAATGTTTCCCATGCAATTTAACATATCAATTAAGCCTAATTAGTTTTAACAAAGCCTAATATAACATTTTTCTTTTTAGAGGGAGAGAGAACAAATTTTTTTGAGATATTCCAAGGGCCCTTTGGAAACTCGCAAAGTTAGAATGAGGTCAAAAGTACTTCATTTATAATGTATTTTTGGGAAATTTGTCAAAAATACCAAACGGTTTAAAACACTTGATTATAATAAGATTTCTGTGGAAAAATATTTAACCAGAGTGATAATTTAAATACTTCAAAGGCAAACACAGAAAGTTACATTGTTGTAGAAAAATCCTTAGCTATTTTAATGTTGTAGGAAAAAACCTTAGCGATTTTAATATTGAAATATAGCTAATTTAATAATAATGTTAATATTAACATTAAGCCTTAGGTAATCAAAGACCTAAAAAGACATGAAGCACAGGAAATTACCTTGATGAAACAAAATCTCTGCTGGGCGCGGTGGCTCATGCCTGTAATCCCAGCTCTCAGGGAGGCAGAGGTGGGAGGATAGCTTGAGTCCAGGAGTTTGAGACCTGCCTGGGCAATATAGGGAGACCCCGTTCTCCACAATAAAGAGGAAAAAAAAAAAAGACAAAGAAACAAAATCTCGATTTTGTAGTCAGATTACTTAAAAGGTAAAAATAATAATATTAACATTAGGTCTTAGGTGATCAAAGACCTAAAAAGACATGAAGCACAGAAAATCATCTTGATAAAATCTCGATTTTGTAGTCAGCTTGCTTAAAAAGTAAAGGAAAACCTTTCACAATCTCTTATCAAGAGAAAACCAATACTCCAGTAAAACTTTGCGCCAATGTACTTCTGATATTAAGACTCATCATTCTTTTAATAACATATATAAATACATATTAGCCAGCTTGGCCATACATAACATTATTTTTCCAAATTCCTCTTACACAAACTTTCTATAGCATTCTTGTATCCGTACATATTTTGTTCTGTACTCTTCCTCTTTCCCAGTATGGAACAATCTGCTTTAGTACAAAAATTATTCTTTTTCCCATAAGAAAAACATCCTTCACACCTCATAGCTTCACATTCCAAAAACATCCTACTTTCCTGACATACGAAATTATTTATTTCAGTAGTTTTCATTACATATATTAATTAGAATTCTTAACTGTTAGTGATGTTAGTTTCTAGTGAAAACTAGGTAATAAGCAGTTGTGCACTGTCAGTCGCACCAGCATTCTATAGACTAGCAGATCTATACTCTTTCATAATTTACAGAAGCATGTTCTTTTTCATAGTATAGTTTTTCAGTGTGTCACAGGACATGTTTACTAACAGACCCAAATATCGTTATTCTTCTGTAATAAGAAGCCAAAAGTAGATAAACTTATGTTTAGCAATTAATGTTTTAGTATTTTATGTAATTTGGAAGTTATCTAGATATTCAATTAATATCTATCATTTAATTTAACTTAATGAAATACTTAGGGTATAAGTTGTCAAAGGGATTTGGAAAACTGTTTTGAAGTAGACATAACACCAGACAAGGCCAGCCATCAAGTTAGTTATTATTTATTTTTTGCTAACAAATTTTGTAACAAAGATAACATGAGTGTATTTGACTAGCAAGTAAAATAAAAGGTGTATATCACATTATATTTAGTGCTGGTAACTCTAAGGATATGCCTGCTTTAATTAAACCAACAAACTTAAATTAGCTTTCTTTTACCAAAGATTATCTGACATCAGATGGACTTGAAAAACATTTGGGTCTGTTTCTATCTTTCTGAAAGTTTAAGGAATACTTAATTTATATAAGTGCTTATTTTTCTTTAAGCCCATTATATATAATTATTAAAAATTTTGACAATACCATCTGGTAATAGAAAAATATCACATATATTTAACATATATATAGTCATACACAAACATACAGGTAGAAGCAGATTCTATAGTTTTCATTCTAAATTTTAGTGATCTGCCAGATATAAAATATCAAACTCAGTAGTTTATAAAAAGGATATTTGGGCCGGGCACAGTGGCTCACGCCTGTAATCCCAGCACTTTGGGAGGCCAAGGCAGGCAGATCACAAGGTTGGGAGTTTGAGACCAGCCTAGCTAACATGGTAAAACCCCATCTGTACTAAAAATACAAAAAATTAGCTAGGCGTGGTGGCATGCACCTATAGTCCCATCTACTCAGGAGGCTGAGGCAGGAGAATCACTTTAACCCAGGAGGCAGAGGTTGTAGTGAGCCAAGATCGCACCATTGCACTCCAGCCTGGGCAGCAGAACGAGACTCTGTCTCAAAAATAGATAAATAATAAATAAATAAATAAAAAGGATATCTGGATCCAAATTGTGTTCCTGAAAATGGGACAAGATTACCCACCCAGATTGTTAAAACTTTACTAGTATTTGTGGAAGAAGACTTTTAAGATTTCTCATCTGTCTTTTGTGAATACTCTTCTAGAGAGACAATTTGCAGTTCATTTAGTCTTCTAGTAGCCTCTGCATACCAATAAAAAAATGCCTTCCAGTTTGTGAAGCATTAGAGATTCCCTTTTATTTAGTACTTCCTGTAGATGGACAATTTTGTATAAGTTAGAAACTTCCCTGTTGTGGCCACCATAATTCTAAACTGTCTTTGGTAAATATACTCATTTCTCTAGGAAAGCACAGGTTCTGGGTCCATAATGTTTATACATAAAATTAGCTGGAGTTCCAGTTGGAGGAGTTCTTGAATTCCTTAAATTCAGAAGAACCCATGATTTTTTGTCCTTCTAAAATCTTATCTACCTGAGGCCTCTTACTGGACCCAATCCAGTCAGGTTCAGTCTGACTTCCAGAGCCGATCTGGATGAAAAATGCTTAAAGGGTAAAAGTTGCAGGTTTCAGCTCAAGTGGTAACCTTCAAATGCACAAGGAGAAACAGTAAGCACAAGGGACCTACCGGGAGGTACCTGTGCCCTGGTTACTTGTTGCTCCTGGAGGTCATCATCAGGGGTCTCCTTCCTGTTCCTCTGCTGAGAACTCTTAAAACATAGGCACATTAAAAATGTAATGAGTTTATTTGAGCATTCAGCTCAAATTCATGAATTGGGCAACACCAGACCAGAAGCGATCAAGGCTTCACCGAGGTGGCATGAGGGGAAAACTTTTATAAAGTGTTCAAGGAAGCAAAACAAAGACAATATTTGATTGGTTAAAATGGAACGTCCTTAGTTAGAAGTTAGTTGGGGGTTTCTAATTGATAAGCGTCTAGTTAGAAGTTAGTTGGTGGTTTTTGATTGGTTAAGCTTAAGCTTCATTCTACTGTTTACATTGAACTGAGTTTTGATTTGCTCATATAGGCACACAAGGCCCTGGAGCTGTCTTAGCCTAATAGCCCCCCAATTAATTTTTTTTTATTTTATTTTATTTTTTTAAAGAGACTGGGTCTTATCATGTTGCCCAGGCAGGAGTTTTATGGCTACTTACAGCACAATCAAGGAACACTACAGCTTTGAACTCCTGGGCTCAAGTGATTCTTCTGCCTCAGTCACCTGAGTAGGACTATAGGTGTGTGCCACCAAACCCAGCTCTTAATTTTTTAACATCATAAAATAATAATAGAAAAGTTCAGTGATTTTTTTTTTTTTTTTTTTTTTTTTTTTTAGTACAGCTACCCTAATTTATTTTTCTGATTAAGCTATGCAAGCGCATTGGGGGAAAGGGAGTAGAGCCAGTCAAATACCTAGTCTCAAAAAACTCTATCTACCCTCCTACCGCTGCCCAATGGTAAAACATTTCAAACCCATCGAAGTTCATTTATTTTAAATATTTGATAAGGAATGAGGGAAACTTGACTGATATGTGACTAGCAAGTGCTAGATGTTTTATATAAATGTAATTTTTTACTACCTCCATACCACATTAACATTGATAATTATACTCTATAAATTGAGTGGTATATGATAGGCATATTTCTGAGTGATCTCATTTACTACTCACAACTGTCCAGTGACTTATATATCATTAGTCCCTTTTTACAGGAAGGAAATAGTCTCAGAGAGATTAAGTAAATATCCTAGTATAACACAAATAATAAATGGCAAAGTGAAGAATTAATAGTCATTAGCTTATTCATATTTATCAGTGAAACAAGAAGTCAGGTGCAGTGACACGTTCCTATAAATCCCAGCCTCTTAGAGGCTGAAGTGGAAGGATCACTTGAGGCCAGGAGTTAAAGACCAGCCTGGGCAACATTACAAGACCCTGTCTCTAAAAAAAAAAAAAAAAATTAACTGCAAAATTAAAAAATAAACATAATACATATTTGAGATACTAGGCCAATCAGGATAGCTTAGAACTGATTTTTTTCTTTAGCATGGCATTTAAAACCTTCTTTAATCTGATTTTTTTCAAAGAAAAATGTATACACATTTAAACATTAATAGTATGATAAGGATTGGTTCTACCTAAGAATTTGTTATAATGAGTAATATATAATTTATTATAAAAAATAAAAGGCTATTAAGACATCACTGAGATAACTTTAAAGGGAAATAAAATTTATAGAGTTATGATCTAAATGCTCCTATTGTATTTGAGGATGTGTTCTTAGTCAAAGGAAAATGTATTGTATAACTATTTTTATGATGAAGAGTATTCAACTGAAATTTCATACAAAGGTAAATTTATGTAAATTGACTGATTTATTTCCTAGATGTTTCTTTCATAAAGATTTTCACATTGGATTAAGAAATAACTTTTCCCAAAGATTCTTGAAATAAATATGCAATCTTTGCCCTCTTGTAATGCAGATCTGACAGGCGCTCAAGATGGAAGTGTAAGAATGTTTGAATGGGGCCATTCTCAAGAGATAACCTGTTTTCGATCTGGTGGCAATTCAAGAGTTACAAGAATGAGATTTAACTATCAGGGAAATAAGGTATTATATAAAAATGTAAATGGTAAAAATAATTTATTGTGTTGGAGGTTTATAAATATCACTAGTTTGGGTTTCTGAAAAGAACAGCTCAGTGGATAATAGTATTCATCTATATAGATTTTTTAAAATTCTTCTCAAAGAACACTTCACTTGTTCTTCATGGAAGTATGTTATGTAGGTGTCCATTAAAACTCATTTAAGTGATTCTTAATGACCAAACGATTATCAATTCACCTTATATTACACACTTTTTATTATTAAATGCTCCTACTCTCTTTATCCCTTGGAACCTACTCAACATGTGATCCAGCAGCAAGTAACATCTAGAGCGTATTATAAATGCATATTATTATTCCTTCTCCAGATGTACTGAATCACTATCTGCATTTTAACCTGATATTGTTGTGATTGTACAAATATTAAAGTTTTTTAAGAGGAAGGGGTACTGCTCCAGAACAGAACATCAGCAAACTACATCCTAGCCACCTGTTTTATAAATAAAGTTTTATTAGACCACAGTTACCCCCATTCATTATTTTTCTTTGGCTACTTCCTACTACAACAGCATACATAGTTCAGGAGGACAAAGATCTTATAGCCAGCAAAATAAAATATTATATGGCCACCTAAGAAAAAGTTTGCCAGCCCTGCTCTAGAGCATCCTTTACTGTCTTCACTTCTCATAATCTTACTTTGTTCAAACTGCCCCCGCTTTTGACGTTAGACAGCAATCTTTTATTGAACAGTACTCCTTGTGAAGCAGGGCTAATTTAGAGGCAGTGCACCCACAGCCAGCCCAAACTGCCTCTTTTTGCTCCTAATATCTTATTAGGCCTCTACAAAATGATTAAAGGGTAAATCAATCTTCTTTTTGTTTTCAGGGCCATGCTTCACCAAAAATTACTCTCACAGACTCTAACTGATAGTTTACCTTGCCTTTTCTTTCCCCTCAGCCTCCCAACCTTAAAATTCTCACGTTCCTTTTATCATTGTATGCTGAAGCCTTTTTTGTCTACCATGTTTGTCACATGACTGTATTTTCATTTCACAAAAGTCAATATAGTTTTATGTAGTTGTGAAACAAAATTTTGAGAGCTTGTTTCTTAATACCAGTTAGCAACGTTCTTATCTTCTTAATGGGAAATTAAGGGAACTTAGTACAGAAGCCTTTACAATTCTACTGTACTTTCAATTGTATTCTGTATCAGTATGCTTTTTGTGGTCATGCATTTCCACTTTGGTTGTCAGTTTTATATTGCTCCTAACTAATCTCTATACCTGAACCCTTATCTCTCTAATGCATCTTGCCAACATATTATATAACCAAAAACATACTTACATGATTACAATATAGATGAGATCACATTATTATTTTTTTCAAGAACCCTTTAAGGCTCCTCATGTCAAATTCTTTAACAAGTATTTAAGACCTTCTATAATGTGACTTTATTTTTCAGCTTTAACATTCACTACAGCCTTCTGCATAGGACATTTTAAGGCACAAAAAACTGCTTGTCTTTGCCTGCCCAGGTATCTTTGACAGGCAGCCAACTTACTATTCATTCACCTTAGCCTTGATGAAGTCTAATAGCACAACCCCTAAGCATGCTATCTCTTCTAGTAGGGAAGCCTCTTAAGGTAAATGGAAGAGATGACCCACACTGTATCACAATAATTCTGATGAATTTGATATTCAGTTATGAATAGAAATACAGTGCCAAAAGCCAGTGAATATTTCAGAACTACTAAGTGTCTGGAAAGGGGTATTAAGCAGGATAAATAATAAATAACCTATGAGGACTAATCCCTCAGAGATTCAAGAATATATTACATTTGTAAAACAAGAACAGACTAGCATTAAACAAGGACAGTAGGAGAATAGAAAAGAGTTATTGGAAATTAAAAATATGATTCCCCAAAATGTGGTCAGTGGGGGAACTACTTATTAGAAAAGCTGAACGGCAGAATGGAAGTAGTTGAAAATCGGGTTTCTTGCTGGGAAGCACAAATTAAGAAATTATCCCATGATGATAATAATTTAGGAAATAGAAGAAAAAATGGAGGAAAAACAGTAGTCAAAGGAATAATAGATATTTCCCCAAACCAAATTGAGAAACAACACATACCTGCACACATCCTGTTTGTATATCTTTTGGTTTTTAGAGTTAAAGAGAGAATCCTATAAGGTTCTAAAAAGGAGTGAGAATGAAAATGGTTACTTACAACCCACATCCCACCCTGCCACTAAATGTCATTGGCCTATTACAAATAGATAGGAGAACAGTATTCACAGAATTCCGATGGACAAGGAATGGGAACTGAGTCGATGTCCATCCAAACTATCATTCATATTTGCTGGCAAAATAAACATATTTTTAGGTATACAGAGACTTAACACATTCTATGTGTATACCCTTTCTGAAGAACATACCTAGATCTACTCCAGAAAACATAAGAGAAACTAGAAAAAGGAATAGACCTGGGAAAATACTATTAACAAATATAAAAACAATAGGTTAAATATTCATAATATTCATCCTGTCAGTCAAATTTTTTATAAGACAAATAATAGAGAAATAGATAAAAGATATTAACAGTTTACCAAGAAACTATGCCTGGCCAATAGCCCTCAACCCTCACTATTAATTGAAGAAATGCAAATAAAATGAGACTTATTTTTGTCTGCATAAAATTAACAAGTATTTTAGATTTTAATAATACCCCATGTTAACTAAAGTGTAAGAAAAATTACTGTCAATTTATATTACCACATAGGATTTAATTTTGGCATAGTCTGTTAATTTTAAGTGATGCTCTTTAACAAAACTTTCCCATTTCTAGATGTCTATCCTACATAATTATGCAAAGGTATATGTATATATAGGAATGTTCAAAGCAGCCCTTTTTATATTAGAGAAAATTGAAAACGATATGGGAAAAGTTTTAAATTATAAAACCACTATACAGTGTAATACTACACACAGCACAAGAATGAGCTAAATGTATGTGTATTTACATGGGAAAGACAGTTACAATAAATCAAAAATGTAATTGTGTAACGGTATGATCCCATTTTTTTAATGCTATATTGTGAATTTTTGAATATTCATAGAAACAAATCTGAAAGGAAACATATCAAATTGTTAGTAGATGTTAGGTCTAGAGGCAGAGGAGGGTAGGAGTCCAAAGCAGACATTTGTTTTATTTTATATACTTTATAATAAGCTGCATTATGGCCGGGCGCGGTGGCTCACCCCTGTAATCCCAGCACTTTGGGAGGCCAAGGCGGGCAGATCACAAGGTCAGGAGATCGAGACCATCCTGGCTAACACAGTGAAACCCTGTCTCTACTAAAAATATAAAAAATTAGCCAGACGTGGTGGCGGACAACTGTAGTCCCAGTCACTTGGGAGGCTGAGTCAGGAGAATGGCGTGAACCCAGGAAGCGGAGGTTGCAGTGAGCCGAGATCACACCACTGCACTCCAGCCTGGGCAACAGAGACTCCGTCTCAAATAATAATAAGAAGAAGAAGAAGAAGAAGAGGAGGAGGAGGAGGAGGAGGAGGAAGCTGCATTATTTTTATAATCAAAGGAAAAAATTTTTGCTGTCTTATCCTTCAAGATCTGTATCACATACCTCCCTTATTGGATTATTTTGACATCTTACCAATCAGAGTTGCCCTGAGCGCCCATAGAGGAATTATTTTACTTTGGTAATCCTTACGTTATTTTACTTTGTACTCTTGTTCATGTGTTTTCCTTATTGTTTGTTTCTGAAAGTCCTTACTTTGTCTTTTTGGAAATGAACAGTTTTCTTTCTTATATATGATAAAGTTCTGTCATTTAGCATAATCTGTTAATCCAGTATCCTATTTTTGTAATACTTACAGAGAATATATAGACTGTGCTAGAGGCTAGTATAATAAAATGGGTGTCTAATGTTTGTTCTCTTTATGTCCACCCTGGGATTTTTAAAGTAGTAGCTGAATGGTTTTCTGAAATAGATCCATGTATAGGTGAAGTGAAAAATCAAATGACATACAATCAAATGTTTAAGAGTCAAAATATGAGTGTCACACTGAGGGTAAGGATGAATATATGCTTTTATATTTATATTAAATACTTTTAAATATTTTCTTTCTCTAAGTTTGGAATAGTTGATGCTGATGGATATTTAAGTCTGTATCAAACAAACTGGAAATGTTGTCCAGTTACTGGAAGCATGCCTAAGCCATACCTGGTAAGCCAAGAATTTCTACCTTTAAATAAAATTTGAATATTCATTTTAAATAAGCCAAGAGTATGTATTTGAGACAAGAATTATAGAACTAATAAATAAAATGTAGTCCTGTGTTCTTAGTCACTTTACTGTAAGATTCTGTCCTTGTGTTATGCGAAAATTACCCTGTGAAGCATAAAATTCTAGTCTCTGGTAATTTGGAAAGTTGACATGTATAGAAGCAACATGATGCCCCCAGATACCTATATATCCTGTGGATTACTACAGCCCTTTTCTAAGCTCACTAAGCTGGTTATTATATTATGCCTAAATAGAATGATTACCAGACCAATGCATCTGGTTATTTTTCTGCGATTATCTCTTATAAACAAAGTGAAAAGGACATCCTATAGCTGGTGCTGTTGTTATTTTCCTGTTCATCTCTTGTTTTAACAGAATATTGATACATCTCTATTCAGGACTATGCAGGCTTTTATGAACTTTCTATGGCTTCATAGAATACTGAATTTGTATTTTATATGCTTCAGTGAAGCCCTTTATTAGGACTAAGCAATTCCTATCAGAAAAAAGTTAAGAATATAGATTAATCGCTTCTTGGCTTTTTTGCTAGGATCAAATGAAGAATATAGGTTAGGATTCCGGTAATTTGCCCAAGGTTAATTGCTAGAATACAGTACTGATCTTAGTAAACGCAATCTAGCATGGGAGGATTGATTAGGGTACTTTGAAAGAATATTAATACTGTTTCTCATATTTTTATTAAGCCTAAAGATTTAGATGTTTAAGTTTATGTTCTCTAAGGGACTGTTGTTGTTTTTTTTTAACTTTTAAAAAAATAAATTGGTTTAAATTGTGAATGAGTGGCTTTTGGAGATTAAGAGGATTTTGTCTGTTTTAAGGATACATAATCTAGCACAGCTCCAGTAGTGTTCCAGGGGAAATGGGGAGGTGGCTCAAAGGAATAATCCTTGGTGTGGTGATTTTGGGATACTTAAAAAAAATTCATTTTTTATTAAAGAGAAATATCTAAAACATAATTTTGAAGCTTTTATAAATGATGAAACCTCATAATTGTTTGGTAGAATATTGAAAAATGGTATATGTTTTCTAATTTCGATAACTATTAGTAATTTTTTTCATGTACTTGAATTTTTAAAAGCTTAAATATTTTTGAAAAATACATGTCAATTATTTAACAAAGATAATTTAGTATCATCTAAAATTCTAGTTTCTATGTTCTAAAACAAAAATTTTCACTATACTGGGGAAAATCTTTAAGTTTAACCTCCTTGTGTTTTCCTTTGAACTTTTGGTTGAACAAAAGCAGAGAGATTCATAACAGGTCATGACATGTGCTGCCTACTTAAATAGTTCAGGAAAAGTGTGTGTATGTGTGGATGTCTACAAATATGAAAGAGAAGTAGAAGCAAAACCAATGTGCCAAAATGTTAAAAAGTTGTTGCATCTGGGTAAAAGGTATATGAAAGTTCTCTGTATTACTTTTACAATTTTTCTAAAGTTCAAAGGAAAAAAAATGATACAGAAGATTTAAGAAAGCCAGAAACTACATGATCACTTTTTGAAGAATACATTTGCCTGGTTATGACATTTTTAGTGAGAGCAGTAACATGTATTGTTTGTAACCATTCCAGACTTGGCAGTGTCATAACAAAACAGCCAATGATTTTGTCTTCGTTAGTTCCTCCTCTCTGATAGCTACAGCTGGTCTTTCAACTGACAATAGGTAAGAGATGATAGCTAAAATTGAAGTATGAGAAAGTATAGCTGAACTTTTTTTATTGTTCCTGTCCTTGTGTTTCATGAAAATTTACTTACGGCTTTAGATACAGTTTTTTTATTCTAAAAACAATTATTTATTGGCCATGTTATTCCAGCCCCATCCCCAAAAGCTGTGGTTGTAAGAAAGTGTCATCTCCTGCCCTAATGTCTGTCTGCCTCTTTTGATTTCTGTCATATAACTGAGTTCTGAGATCAAGGCCCACTGAGTTTGCTTAGCTTTTATATTTATCCGTAAGGCCTCATTTTGCACTAGAAACAGGATTGTAAGACTATAGATTCTTCAGCTCGTCTTCCGTAGATATTTCTTATGTATGTTGGTCCCCCCACACAGTAGAAATAAATTTTCTTTGTACTCAAGAAAATTCAGCATCTCTCCTATTATGTATGTCAGTCCAACTGTTAGAGAATCAGTGAATACAAAAAGAAGTTTCCATATTCAGCCTTCATGTATTATTATTTGTAAATGCTTGTTAATCTAAAGTTACTCAAATTTTTAAGCTATAATAGTAGTTTTAAATTTTCTGTAAGACTTGTGGGTCGGGCACGCTGGCTCATGCTTGTAAGCCCAACACTTTGGGAGGCCGAGGTGGGCGGATCACTTGAGGCCAGCAATTTGAGACCAGCCTGGCCAACATGGTGAAACCCCATCTCTACTAAAAATACAAAAAATTAACCAGGCATAGTGGCGGGTACCTGTAATCCCACCTACTCAGGGGGCTGAGGCAGGAGAATAGCTTGAACCTGGGAGGTGGAGGTTGCAGTGAGCCAAGACCACGCCGTTGCACTCCAGCCTGGGCGACAAGAGTGCGAAACTCCATCTCAAATGTGGCCAGAGCATGGTGGCTCATGGCTGTAATCCCAGCACCTTGGCAGGCTAAGGCAGGAGGATCACTTCAGCCCAGGAGTTTGAGACCAGCCTGGGCAATATAGGGAGACCCCATCTCTACAAAAAATTTTAAAAATTAGCCAGACATGGTGGCACACATCTGTAGTCCCAGTTACTCAGGACACTGAGGTGGGAGGATTGCTTGAGCCCGTAAGATCGAGGCTGCAGTGAGCCAGGATTCCACCACTGCACCCTTTTTTTATACAAAAATTAATGTCATATAAATTTGTTGGTTACTTGTATTTGTTGTTTTTATAAATTTAAGAACCTTCTGTGATTGCAAGGTTTAGTCACACAGTTATATATGACATATTTTTTATTCTGTTAACTTTTTGTGTCACTCAGAAGTAATCTTTTTTTTTTTTTCCAGAAACGTATGTTTGTGGGATACTCTTGTAGCACCTGCCAATAGTTTAGTCCATGGTAAGTTTTCAAAGCATTTTATAAATTTTGAAAGTCAGGAAATTCATAAGCTAAGTATTATTTATAAATGGATTTGTTACTAATGACACTTGTATTTATTAACCCATGAGATTTATTTTGCCCATGATGGTAGGATTTGAAAGCAAAAGGATGCAATATACATAATTAACTCTTCAGTATACCTTGATGGGGGCATTGGGACATAGATAATATAAAAATCATTTGTCTTTACTTTGAATCTGATAGCTAAAGGTTATTGTAAACATGATGTAAACTCAATATTATGTCCCCTCTCACCACTCCTGTTCAGCATTGCACTGGAAGTCCTAGCTAATGCAGTAACACAATAATAGGAAATAAAATGTATATAAATGGAAGGGAAGAAATAAAACTGTCTTTATTCACAGAAGACATAATTTTCTGTAAAATATCCCAAAGAATCTACAAAAGAAACTCACAAGTATAGCAAGGTCCCAGGATACAAGGCCAGCATACAGTTGACCCTTGAACAACATAGGGATTGGGATGCTGACCCCTGCACAGTTGAAAATTCTCATATAATTTTTTATTCCCCCCAGAATTTAACTACTAATAGCCTAGTGTTTACTGGATACTTTGTTAATAATATAGTCAGTTAACACATGTTTTGTATATGTATTATATAGGAAGCTAGAGAAAAGAAAGTGTTATGAAAAGAGTACATACAGTAGTGTACTGTATTTATTGATACTGTAAAGTTTATGTCATCTGTTTACAAGGTGAATTATCCGTCTGAAATGGCAGGCAACTACAGCTGCAGACCTTAATTTGTGGTGCATATCAAGCAATTCAACTTTTTTCGTGTAATGTCTTGACTTTTCTCTGCTTTTTGGGAACACTTCCAGCATTACTAGTGGCGTGTTGTGTGGTTCCCATGGTGTTATTCAAGGTTTATACTATTGCACTAAATACAGTGAAGAATTCACAAGTACCACAGGAGATCACTTTTCACCGCAATATACAATTTACTGGAGAGAGGACCTGCCCACGTGGAAATGATTAGCATCACACAGCATTTTAAGTGTATACTTGCAACACTTAGGAGCTAACTGCAATAGCAACAGGAGGTGGTTACTAAATTATAACAGTAGTACAGTATGTACTATAATTAATTTTATGCACTTATGATTTCATACTGTATTTTTGTTTACATTTCTTGACTGTCAGTGGCACCACTTACAATCTATATTTGTGTGCGTACATTTCAATAAATTTAACTTTTTATAAATATTTATGTATATTTTATGGTAGTAAATGATAAAATAGACTAGTATCTACATGTATTTTATGCATTCATAGCATACTTTTTCATAATTTTTTTGGTATTTCTTGGCTATGTGGGTTGTCTGCAAGTTTTTTCAAATTATCTCAAATCTTTAAAAAATGTTCCAATATATCTATTGAATAAATCAAAGAAGATCTAAATAAATGAGTGATACTCCACATTCACAGATTAGAAGACTCAATATTCTTAAGATGTCAGTTCGTCTTGATTTTATAGATTCAACACAATCCTAATCAAAATTCCAGCATGCTACTTTGTAGATACCAACAAACTGATTCTGAAGTTTATATGGGAAGGCAAAGGAATAGCCAACCAAATACTGGAGAAAAACACACTTGTGGGACTCACACTATACTATCTGATTTCAACACTTACAAGCTACAGTAGTCAAGACATTGTGGTATTAGCTTAAGAATATACACATAGATCATGGAACAGAATGGAGAGCCCACTGACAGACTCACATATATAGTAGACTTATCTTTAATATGTCACAGAGGCAATTCAGTGGAGAAACGATAGTCTTTTCAACAAATAATGCCAGAACAATTGAGTGTCAACATATAAAAAATTGAACCCAGATACAGACCTCACCTTTCATAAAAATTAAACTGGACCATAAACCTGCATGTAATATGCAAAATAATAAAACTCCTGGAAGGAATGAATTGAAGTCAGAATAGTGATTGCGTTTGTTGGGGAGGAGAATCGACCATGAAAGGGCATGAAATTACCTTCTGGGATGATGAAAATTTTCTGTACCTTGATCTTAGTGATGGTTACACAGATGTATTCATTTGTCAGTGCTCATCAAGGTATATACTTAAAACGTGTGCATTTTCTTCTGGGAAGTTATATCTCAAAGTACTGGTCAAAGTTCCTTCTCTATAATTAATTTTATTTCAAGTCTTACAGTAATAACCAAGTGCTTAGTTTATGCCATGGATTCTACATGATCTGCATATATGAACTAATTTAATCATCAGGAAACCCTATTAGGTTGGTGATAATCTCTTTTACAAATGATGAAACTGAGACTTAAGTAATTCAGCAAAAGCACACATTTAAACCCACACAGAAACCAGGATTGAAACCCAGGCGATCTAACTCCAGAATCCTCACTCTTCATTATGCAATATTCTCCTTAAGCTGTATGCAGATTTTTCCCTAAAATTTGTTAGGCTGGACTCTTTTTTAAAGAAAAATAGTATCGTATTTTTATATTTCTGATACTGATGTGTCTTCAAATTCATGAATCTTTTCTTTTACGAGGCTTAATCTGCTGTTAATCCCATCCAGTTCCTTTTTTATCTTGAGCCTTGCTGTTTTTAATCTGTTAAATTTTGATTTAGGCCTCTCATGCCTCTACTTAACTTATAATTATAATGGACTTTTACTTTCCTTACCTACTAATTCTGTCATCTCTGTCATTTCTGGGTTAGTTTCAATTGATGGATTTTTCTTCTCCTTATGGGTTATATTTTCCTGCTTTATTACATTCCTGTTAATTTATTATTAGATGCCAAGCATTGTGAATTTTACCTCATTAAGTGTCTATTATTTTTGTATTCTGTAAATGTTCTTGAGCTTTGCTCTGGGATAGGTCTAACTTACTTGGAAACAGTTGAATCTGGGAGACCTTGGTTAAACAGGACCAGAGCAACATTTGGTCTAGGGCTGATTTTCCTCCACTACTGTGTCAAATGCTTCTGAGTACTCCACTGAGGCTGGTATGGAACCAGTTCAGCCAGGGTTCCTCTCCTAGTGCCATGGTCAGAAAACTCTAGGCAGTAAGCTAGAGCAGTTTTATGACCAACCCAGTTTGTTTCCCATCTCTCAGAGATCATGCTTCATTAACTTACATCCAGTGTCTCAAATCATTGGTTTTTATATTTCATTTGATTTTTTAATTGTTTCAGGCAGGAGAGCAAATCTGGTCTATTATTTCACCTTAGCCAAAAGCCAGAAGTCTATGTCTTTTATTGTTAAGTGTTTTTGTTTTTGTTTTTGTTTTTAATTTACTTTCAGCTTTTACCTGCCATGACAGTGGAGCCACAGTTTTAGCATATGCTCCAAAACATCAGCTACTAATATCAGGTGGCAGAAAAGGTTTTACATATGCATTTGACCTTTGTCAACGACAACAGAGGCAGCTTTTCCAGAGCCATGATTCTCCTGTTAAAGCCATTGCTGTTGATCCAACTGAAGAGTACTTTGTTACAGGATCTGCCGAAGGCAATATAAAGGTAAACATAGTTGATGCCACAACATCTACAAAATGAAAAGAAATCTTCAGAAACCTTAGCTCTTTAATCATGTCGATGCCATCAGTCTGTTTAAAAAATAGTTATATTAACTCCTTTGTAGTCAGCAATGGTAATTGCTATTTAATCTTTCAGTGAATGTAATAATATTTAACTTGAAAATTTTATATTTTTCATTTGTTTTAAAATATGTTTAATTCATACTAAAACACCAAATTTTCCATGGATATAAACATAATGCAGATATTAGAGTTTGTCTTGACTCCATGTTCAGAGTTACATAATTTACTTAATTTCCAGGGGCTGAGAAATGTATTGATAATTTTCTTTTATCCCACATTGTTCCCCATTTTTTCATATATATTATTATCCAGTCACTCAGTGCCTAATTCAAGAATTGTGGATAAACCTTGCCTTTAGCAGTCCTTTTCAGAGTCCATTGTGTTGAAAACTTAAAGACAGGTTGTTTAAAATGTTAAGCAGCTTGTTAAAAATGTTAAACAGCTTATTAAATATGCAAATTGCTGGGTCTCATCCCAGAAATACTCAGTCTATAAGTAAGTCCAAGACTCAGGGATCTGCATTTTAATAACACATACCTAGTAATTTTAATGGAGGGTCCTTTAGCCCTGTTTGGTAATTGGTAAGTCAGTTTAGACTAATACCCATGTTGTTTTAATAATCAGCAACCCTAGACTAGAGGGGTCTAGTTTCATTGAATTTATTAATTTAAACACTTACTTAGTAGAATCAGATGGGTTTTTTAGAGCCAGCAAATTATTTACATAATTCTCATCCAGGAAAAGACTAGAATTATAGAATTTTTAAAAGGCTTTTTCTTAAAATCAAATATATATATATACACACACACATATACACACACACCAACAGAATTATTTTCCTTTAGTTTGAAACTACTTTCTTATTTGAACTGTCTGTCTAGTTTAGAATATGCCATAGTTAGGTTGGTTCTTTTTTTTTTTTTGAGACGGAGTCTTGCTCTGTCGCCAGGCTGGAGCACAGTGGCACGATCTCGGCTCACTGTAACCTCCGCCTCCCGGATTCAAGCGATTTCCCTGCCTCTGCTTCCTGAGTAGCCAGGACTACAGGTGTGTGCCACTATGCCCTGCTAATTTTTTGTATTTTAGTAGAGACAGGGTTTCACCATGTTGGCCAGGATGGTCTCGATCTCCTGACCTCATGATCCACCTGCCTCTGCCTCCCAAAGTGCTGGGATTGCAGGCATGAGCCACCATGCCTGGCCTAGATTGGTTCTTTAGTTTGTACTTTGATCCTGCGGTTTATTGTTTAATCAAGGTTAAAAAAAAAAAAAAAAGACTTGAAAATATACAATGTATTCATAGGTGGGGTAGTATGAATTTATGAATTTCTTAGAGTAAATAAACGTTTAAAAAAATGATCTCCAGTAAAACCAGGAAATAAGTTGGTTTCGCTAAACCTAAAATAGATGTCCTGAAAGCATTTAAGTTCTTCACATAAGTAAAGGTGCTTATAATTTGCTTTACAGACAGACACATTTATTTTGATAAGGGCTGGAAATACAAAATCTTAGTAAATTAGGTATCCTGAAATTATAATAATTAACTTTGTCTTATAGTTAAAATATAGCTTTGCCTGGTCAGAGGGCCTCTAGGTGTCAAGTACTTGCCTCTTTCCAGCTGTTCTGATCCCAGGTGAACATTCAATAATAAGAAGAGATTACCTTAATGTACAACTATACAGCAAAAGCTCTGCTAAGAAATAGGAAACCTTGATTTTAATCCTTATAGTATTACAAGTTTCTGTAGCATTGTACACTTAACCTCCTTGTTACCTACATTGTCTCTCTTACTGGATGAATTTTTAAGTATTTTGTGTTAAAGCGATTGGTAAATTACAACACCCTATACAGAATCAAGGTGTTATGATCCTAGGCCTACACAGATTTTTCTCTATTTTTGTTTTGGAAATTCCTTACTGCACAGGAATGCGGGCCTAAAATTTTCATTTGGTTTCTTTTCTTTTCTTTTCTTTTTTTTGAGATGCAGTTTCACTGTTGTTGCCCAGGCTGGAGTGCAGTGGTGCAATCTTGGGTCACTGCGAACTCCACCTCCCAGGTCCAAGCCATTCTCCTGCCTCAGCCTCCTGAGTAGCTGGGATTACAGGCATGCGCCACCACGCCCGGCTAATTTTGTATTTCTAGTAGAGATGGGGTTTCTCCGTGTTGGTCAGGCTGGTCTCCAACTCCTGACCGTAGGTGGTCTCCCCGCCTCAGCCTCCCAAAGTGCTGGGATTACAGGCGTGAGCCACTGCACCTGGACTCGTTTGGTTTCTTAAGGTCATTATCAACCCTAATTTTCCTTTCGTTCTTAATATCTTTCAGATTTGGAGTCTCTCTACCTTTGGTCTTCTCCATACTTTTGTCAGTGAACATGCTCGGCAGTCCATTTTTAGGAATATTGGAACTGGAGTGATGCAAATTGAGACAGGGCCCGCAAATCACATTTTCTCCTGTGGAGCTGATGGAACAATGAAAATGAGAATACTGCCAGATCAGTTTAGCCCTTTAAATGAAGTGTTGAAAAATGATGTGAAATTTATGCTATAACATTTTTACAATAAGAAGTACAATTTATTACCTACATGGAAGTAGTCACCAGATGTAATATACAGTGATCATTCTCTATGCCACAAATTAGCTAATGCTTTCTTGTTTTTATATTTATTTTATGGAGCTTTGCCCTTGATGCACTGATGCCTTAAAAATTAACAAGGTCATTCAGAAGTAGATTACATTGCCTAAAGTAGAATGTGTAAGTAATGCTGTAATAATACATATCATAGTATATTATAATCAGTATGTCATAGTGTTAAAGGTGTTTTGTTTTCTTATTGATACTCTTCCACAGGCATCTCTGCATGAATTTCTTCCACAGTAAAAATACCTTTTTTGAAAAGGCAGTTGTACATAATACTTATCCCTTAATTCACCACACTCTCACTTCCTTTATTAGCCTTATACATCTCACACTCTTCTTAATGATAGACATTTGAGTAAGAATGAAAAAAATAATGAACATCTTCATTAAAATTGTCATTGAGATGTCAGTGATAAATGAGCCAGATGGCTCATTATGTAAGGTTTTCATCAGTTTCCCCTCTGGAGCCCAAGTTATATGTATGTATACTGTGTGTGTGTGTTTGTATCTTACATATCTTATTTGAACTTAGTTGTACATATTAGCGAAAACTGGTTTTTCATGTGTTTTTGTGCCATAACAACTACGGCCACTAGAATAACTTTTTTTTTGCAACTGTGCTTTCCATTTTTAAAAAATTTTTGGATTCCCATCCTAATTTTCAAATAAGTTTCAAGGAGACTTTCAGGATTATTGTTTTAAAGATTAGATTTAGTCAAATAAGTCTTAGCAGGCAATAAAGTTTCTGTGGTGGCATATATCATATAAGACACTTAAAGTAAGTTTGTGAATTTGTCAACTTTTGGAGCATCAAACATATCTTACTTAAATTTTATTTTATCTTATTTTTAGGTGCTTTTAATCTCAAAATTCTGAAAAGCTTATAGCAGTGTTTTCAGAAACAAATGTGAAAACAGTCAAATTAAGTAGACACTGTTTAGAAATGTAAAATACTCTCCAGATCTACCATTAATAGAAAATAAACTAAACCTTATATTTTATTTTTGCCAAAATATTTTATTATAAAGTATGACCAAAATATTTAAAATGCACAATGCTTTTAACTTAAATGCGCTAACCCTGTTTCTGTCTGTTTTGTGCTGTACCTTTTCTGATTCAGAATTATAGAAAACTTGATAAATACTTGATTTTAACCAATGAGACTACAGGCAGATGAGACTAAGTGTTTATGGGACAATTATATACTATTTAACTTAAATATATTTTGTTTAATAGGAAATATATAATAAGAGCATTTTATGTAATAAAATATGGGCAATGATTATCTTGGAAATTAAAGAGTCAAAGCAAAGAAATGAAGGGCTGATAAAATGAATTTTGTAATATCCTTAGGATACTTTTATCTTAAAAGTATGTTTGTAAATTGTATTTCAACAATTTTAAATGTGTTGAGCAAGTTGCAGTGAAAACACTGTCATTATGTAGAGAGTTTATATGCACATAATAACCTGTACCTATAAGTTGTGCAATAACCATACGTGACTATTTTGCCATGGAGAAATCTGACAGCATTGCAAACAATAATATTGTTTGATGTAGTTAACCCTAAGTTATTTTTCAGCAATTTCTTCACAAATCAAGATTCAAACAGCTTTAAATACTTTCAATGAGATAAAATATTTACTATTATGCTTATTAGAACAAAAGGTGTTAAGGATGAACTAAATATTTTAATTGAGCGTTTATATGGATAATCATACATTATGTAAGCCCATATGTATTTACATCCAGAGTCATAATATTTTAAATAAACAATCATGCAGAAACTTTTTTGGGGGATATACTATTGTTTTAAGATCTCTGCCAATTTAGCTGACTTAAAATATGTGACATTTTAAAATCAAGAATTTCTACATTTGTATTTGGTTAATATAAGGAGGATGGAATAACTTTCCCAAATAGCCTGTTCTTTTCTACAGTCTTTTTAAGTTGATAGGTAAGCATTATTCAAGGAAGGTGGGAATAAAAATTGTTGAAATGTTTAAGTATAAAATGATGTACATATATGTAAAATTTCATTATCCACATTAATGGAATAGATACATCAAAATACATTTTTTAATTGTGTGTTTTCTAAGAATGTGGCTTTGTGATCATATAAGGATTCACAGCATTAACAAATCTTATTTTCTGAAATCTAGGATTTTTCTTAACTAAAACCATGGAACAGTCATCTCCATCCTCCTTTCTTGCTCTTTGCCCTTGCCCTCCCTTTGGAAAAAAAATTATTTTTTAAAAAAATTGCAGAAATTTCTCACATTGGTCTCAACAATGGAAACACAATACAAAGACACATTCAGAGAAAAGCCTATACAACCTAAGGGTGGAAGTGATCTTTTAACAAGATTGGAAACACAGACATATTTTACTTAATAAAAAATTTAAATGTCATATGGCAGGGACCACATTCAAAGTTAAAACAACAAGTAGACTAGAAGAAATATTTGTATAGTAATAGGAAACATGTCAGTGTCCCTGTATACAAAGAGAAGTTTAAGTTATTGGAGAAGTGGTCAAACTGTGAATAAGCAATTCACAGAACAGGACATTGAAAAAGTCAACAGATACAAAGTATGTTCATCTTCATTATAAGGGCTAATGGAATGTTTTTTAAAAATATTATTGTAATACTAGTTTTTATCATATTGGTTTAAGGTTACATAGTTACAACATCCATTTTGGTGAAGATACAGGGAAATTGGCAGAAACATTGCTGACAAAGTTATCTGTGTGTGAATTAAAATTGAATACACATAACTTTCAGTGACCAACCTTTTGAGAAATTATAAAAATAAAAGCATCCATGCACAAAAATGTAAGCACACAGATGTTTATTGAAACATATTCTGGAGGCTGGGTGTGGTGGCTCACACCTGTAATCCCAGCATTTTAGGAGGCTGAAGTGAACAGATCACTTGAGGTCAGAGGTTCGTGGCCAGCCTGGCCAACATGGTGAAACCCATCTCTGCTAAAAATACAAAAATTAGTGCGATTTGGGGTTGTGAGCCTGTAGTCCCAGCTACTCAAGAGGCTGACACAGGAGAATCACTTGAACCCAGGAGGTGGAGGTTGCAGTGAGCCGAGATTATGCCACTGCACTCCAGCCTGGGTGACAGAGCAAGACTCTGTCTCAATAAAATAAAAATTTTAAAAACTGGAAATCTAAATGTTAATTAGCAAGAAAATGGTTGAATAAATTGTGGTACATACATGTAATATTATAGAATATTCTCTCACCACTAAAAAGAATGTTAGATGTGTATCTGTTGGCCTGAGAAGAGGTTGATGAGGAAAAATAATTACAAAGCAAAAGATACAATATCCTATATTGTTTAGATTTTTAAAAAATATAGATGAACAAAGAAATGTGTGTGGAAAAAATACACAAAACTTTTAACATTGGGAAAAGGAAGAAGGGTGTAATAATTTTCCAAACTCCTTTAAACCTCTCTCAGTAAAGTCATAATACCAAAAAGTTTTGTTGAATGTGTGTACGTGGGAAAAATTATTTTTAAACCAAATAGTACTTCATGACTTTGGGAGCTGCTCTGTTGAATAAAGTGATCCAGTGTCAGGAACACTCCTCTTTGAATTGTTGAGATATTTTTGGTGAAATTTATTTAAGCTGAATGTTAAAATGTTACCCTTTGGAGCGGGAGTCCCGAACCCATGGGCCACAACTGGTACTGGGCTGCACAGCAGGAGGTGTCAGGGGAAGCTTCATCTCTATTTACAGCTGCTCCCCATTGCTTGTATTACCGCCTGAGCTCCGCTTCCTGTCAGATCAGTGGAGGCATTCGATTCTCATAGGAGCGGGAACCCTATTGTGAACTGGGCATGCAAGGGATCTAGGTTGTGCGCTCATTATGAGAGTGATGCCTGATGATCTGTCACTGTCTCCCATCACCCCCAGATGGGACCATCTAGTTGTAGGAAAACAAGCTCAAGACTCCCACTGATTTTATATCACTGTGAGTTGTATAATTATTTCATCATATATTACAATGTAATAATAAAAAAGCTGCACAATAAATATAATGCGCTTGAATCATCCTGAAACCATTCGGCCCCTGCGACCCTGGGTCCATGGAATAATTGTCTTCCCACAAAACCTGGTGCCAAAACAGTTGGGGATTGCTGCTTTGGAGTACCTGGAAAAAGCTGATCATAGATTATTTGAATGTGCCTGTTAGTATTTAGAAATGTGTGTAGATTTTAGTACAGTTATTTTCAAAGCTGAATCTCTTTTTGAGCTTTTCAAGATGGTTTTCCTTTCCTTTTGGCTGTCCCTGCATATATATGGTCCATTATTCAGGGAACTAATACTAATTGTTTCACAGGGGTCCTTGGAACAAGAACACTTGAAGTTCTCCCACTGCAAATACAGATGAGTAATAGAAACAATTGGTGTGACAACACATTTCACTCGACAGTGGAAAAAATGCTTTATTCATGGACAGTCAGTTATGTGTTCAATGTACAGGTATGACCTGTGTAACAGAACTCAAGCCAGTATGGTGTATCAGCCCTGGACATATGTTAAATAAGTTTTAAAAATCCTTTGGAATCTACTCTTAGCATCATTTCTAAAATTGCAGCATATTTATTTTTTGAAGCCATACCTTTCTTTTCAGTTTATTCTGAACACAAGCAAAAATAATTCCTTAAAATAGTATCTGGTTGTCTGTATTTGGGTTGTTTCATTCTGTGCTTTGCAGAAAATGCATCAGATTATTATGGCTATTCAGACATGAAGATAACTAAGCAAGCTACAATACTTGCAATGTATTTTAAGATCTCATGGGGCTTTTTCCTAATGAGAAGCTTTATGGGGCAGGGAGGGTGGGAAATGCTCCATCTGGAGTTTACATTAGAGAAAACTTCATGTGTAGATGAATGTAGCCCCACAAATGAGGCATTTCTTCTGAGAATGCAGCTCCACAAGAAACAGCTTAGCAAATGAAGCAAGGGCTAGACTTCAGCCCAACAGACCCCCCTAATAAGTTATATAAGCATTCACCATGGCCCTGTACTTCATAGAAGCCTAAGATTCTTATACAGTGATGACAATCACGTAAATTTCAACTGTTCCACAAATCCCTTTAAAGAAGAAAAAGAACAAATCACTCAGATACTATACCTAAGCATATTAGATGGCAGAGAAGGCAGCAACCTTTAAATTACATATAATTTGGGAAATAAACATCTGAGTCTCCTAGACCTCACACTATAGCAGAAAATGATTGGAAGGGGGGTACATAGAAGAGTGCAGAAGGATTCTACTGGTACTGACACAATATGAACTGGAGTTTAGAAGGAGAGAGTCTCATTTTGAATGGTGAAATAGAACAAATAACTGGCTACTGAAAAACAGAGTTGGAAATTGTATGTGATTAGATGTGAATATTTTGGGAAATTAGTTCTGAAATAGGAGGCCATCTTCAGAGGAACTGATGTCCTCTGGAGGCTTATTGGTGAAGGGAAAAAAGGAAGTAAATGAAAGTGTCATTTAACAAGATACCAAAGAATCCAAAAATATCCTCCATAAAGATGTGTGATTTTTTTAAAGGAAATCGTGATTCACTTTACAAATAAAGCACTGTGTTCCTGAATGAAAAAACAGCCCCCCATATTCTTTCCTACACTTGTCCATAAGATTATTTACTATTATAATGTGAATAGTTGACACCACATGTGAAAAAAAAAATCCACACAAATTTACTCTCAAAACTTTTTTTTTTTTTTTGGAACATATAAAAACACTCTAGGCCGGGTGCAGTGGCCAGTTCCTGTAATCCCAGCACTGGAAGGCCCAGGCAGGAGGATTGCTTGAGCCTAAGAGTTCAAGACCAGCCTGGGCAACATAGGGAGACCCCCATCTCTACAAATAATTTAAAAATTAGGCATGATGGCACGTTCTTGTGGTCCCAGCTACTTGGGAGGTTGAGGCAGGAGGATTGTCTGAGCTGGGGAGGATGAGGCTGCAGTGAGCAGTGATCACACCACTACAGCCTGGGTCCAGAATGAGACCATGTCTCAAAAAATGCAGGGGAGGAGGAGTGGCTCATGTCTGTGATCGCAGCACTTTGAGAGGTCAAAGTGGGAGTCCAGGAGTTCAAGACCAGCCTGGGAAACATGGTGAAACCCCTTCTACAAAAGAAAAGAAAACAGAAAAATTAGCCATGCATGGTGTCACGTGCCTGTAGTCCCAGCTACTCAGGAAGCTGAGATGAGAGAATTACTTGAGCCTGGGGAGGTCAAGGCTGCAGTGAGCCATGATTGTGCCATTGCACTCCAGCCTGGGTGACAGAGTGAGACAGTCTCAAAAATAAAAATGTAAATAAACCACCCTCCAAAATAATTTCATGAAACAGAGGAAAGCAGTAATTCAAAACATTCTAACTTATTAATTGATCAACAGGGTCTCACTTTAGCCTAGGCTGCATTTACAGGACCTGCATTTACTCAGGAATGAAAACAGCAAAATTATCTCATAAATCAAGGCTAAATTAGAAATGGCCCAAGGGAGAAGAGATATGACTGAAAGCACACACTGAACAGAGAGGATAGAAATTAAATGAGCCAAAAAATGAAGTAAAAAGCTGTTGTAGAGAAAATAATAGATATAGAACATAGACAAATATGCAACGTTTACAGGAAGGCAGAGCTCTGCGTGTAGAGCCAGGAGTTGTAAGCCCAGAGAGCAGAGCTTTGAATCACAGGATTATTTTCAGGCCTTGAAACTGAATGGAATTTTCCCTGCTGTACTT